CTAACTCATCAGGATGTTTGGGGTCAGCAAACTCTTTCCCATTTATCGGATGGAAATAAAACTGAACAGAATTATCAGAAAGGCAGAATGAAAAAGTTACACAAATGTGCTGTTAGAACTATAATGAACTGTTGGAATATTAGTGGTTTATTGGCATCACCCCATAGGATTCCTTTTGTAAAAACCCTAGAACAACTATCTAACATGAACTGTTTTATAAAACAGGGGCCAACTCTTTGTTAATATAAACTGCTGGTATCCCATTATAAGTGTGGCTTTAATGTAAGAGCTAACAGTCTCCAAAGTGAGTCACAAACGGCCTTTGTCCGGTGTGGAGAGCAAGAGGGCTGTGTGTGGCCAGCACCTGACCGGACCCACGCTTCTTCAAGAATCACGGCCAGATTTGTTGCTCTTCCTTCGGTCTGCAACTTCCATTACCAGCAGCTCTTGCCAAAATTAACTGACTCCATGTGTGCGCACGCACGTGTGTGTGTGTGTGTATGTGTGTGTGTACAGATGCTGAAATCATGAGCCATTTTGTAGGGGTTAGTCAGAAGACAACAGCCAATATTCCCAGAAATGGAGTGGTCAGGTTTCCTTAAAAAATGTGCAGAGATTGTGTTTCTGGCAATGAGGGCTCAAGTTAAAAGCAAACAAAAATACCACAGAACATATAACAATTTGTTTTTTGAAGGATTTGTGATTCTGAATTTGGATCCAGTTCTCTTAAATACATGTTGAGCTTCTCATGGAACACGGCTCTTTAATACACATATATATACACACACATTATGTATAAACACAGAATCTTCATTTGCAGCTCTTCAAAGAATTCGGGTGATAAACCCTTTATTGATTACTTCCAAATTAACTCAGTGGGGGCAGTTTGGCAATGAGTAGAGATCAGAGGAGAAAGACAGTTTCATCAAAGTCACCTGAAATAATCCAACCAGCTGGTCGATGAAACTCATGGAAGTAAAGACGGGCTTACACTCCTCGATGTTTTCAACAATGCCTTTTTCTGTGCCTGGGATGTCATTATGGCTCAGTCTAGGGCAAGAGAAATTGTCCCCCATTGTGGGGATGGCAGGGATAAGCCCCAGCCTGGCCCTAGGTGTGTCTGGGTCTCTGTGGGCTGCCGAATGCCCGTCTCTTTCCTAAGCACCGTGGGAGACACTGCACTCTGCGTAAGGAGTTGAAGGTCAGGCGGGGGGACATCCGTAGAGAACAAATGTATCCTTTATCTGTGTACAGAATTCTAAGTGTACAGATACGTGGGTTGGGTTTATTAGGGAAGGCTTCTCAGTGAGGTCGAGGACATGATTTCGCTTCGATGGCCAGGTCACCTCATCTGGCCACTCCAGGGAGTCCGCCATTCCTTGAACCTCTGTTTGCGGGCAGATCGGGCCCTGATGTGCAACAGGGGAGAGAGAAGGAGACAGTCCAGTGACCAGGAGAGGGCGAGGAAGTTTGCCCAGGTGCCGCGGGCATGGCTCTTAGCTGCATGCTCTTTTTTCCTTTTTTCACTTTTTTTCCTTCAAGGATTTCAGAAATTGATGCAGAGGACTGGGGGAAGGTTGTGCTGAGACTTATCTGACATGATGGCCTGGTTTCTTTCCCACTGGATTTCATTCCTTCATTCATCTTTCTTTCCTGGAGAAAATGTCAAGTCCAGTTTGGTTCCTTGTTCCTCCTTTTCCTCTTTAATCACACTGTTTAGGTTGCTGTTACGTGCTAGGCTTTGGGAATGCCCACATAAGCAAGGCGTAGCCCCGTCTCTGAAAGCAAGCCCCGCTGAAGAGAAGAGACCCGTGGGTGTATGGGTGTACAGGGCACGTGAGGAACGCGTGTCCGGCTGCGGCCGAGGGCAGGGGAGCCGAGCCGTGCACCGCCTGGGGGACAGAGCCCGCTTCCAGGGCACACGAGACAGAGGCTGAGGCTTGCAGGACAAGCCCGATCCAGCAAGCCCCATCCATCCCTGAAGCCACAGTTCACATGCCTCGCCCACCCTTGAAAAAAGAAAGAAGGAAAGACGACAGCTGCTTTTTGAAGAAAAGCCTTTGCCAGAGAGAGGTTTCTGCAGGTTATGTTTTGGGAGGTTCAGCCTTCTGGTGCAGGATGAGGGGCTTACACGTTTCTGGTTCATTTGCGTGATTGTCGTGTGAGTGTTCTCTGTGTAAGGCTGTCGTCCCGGGAAGGGGCGCACACGTGCTTCCTGCCTGCTCTGGGAGAAGCTGGCTGGACCCCTCACGTTCCGTGATCCTGCTTTGCACGGTAGCCCAGAGGCCTTGTTCTGTGCATGTTCTGGACGAGGACGTCAGGCCCAAGTCCGCAGCGCTCAGGCTTACCTGGGGAGGAGGCCGTAGAATGAGGGTTGAAACCCCATTTCTGTCCGATGCAAGAGGCCAGAACATTGCCTGTGTCGTCCTCTTTTCCTAGAGAAGAGACAGCCTCCTGTCCTTAGACCAAATAAGAATTTGCCTCGTCACCTGAAGATCTGATAATGCCACGGGGGAGGCGTGGGAACCGAGGCAACAGGAGTGGAGTCGCTGTGGACAGAGACTCAGGCATCCAGAAGGCCCAGGCCACTGGGTGGATGTCTCTCTGATGACGCTTTCCCTCCTCAAAATCGACAGGGAGAACAACGTGGCAGCAAGCTCTCTGGGCTTTTCTTTCTTTTCCCTTTGTCCTGTTTTCGTCTCAAATGTGGACTGTGCTCTGTAGCTTTTTTGTAAAACAGCTGAGCAGCAAAGTGGCTGCAGACACCGTCGTGGGCTCCCGTCGGTTCCTGGCGCTAATCCCAACAGTGGCACCAGCCAGTGACTTTGGGCACGTCTGCCGAGATCGTATTGCAAAGCTGCTACCCAGATATCTGGGACTTGGGCATTTCACTTCTGCCCCGAAGATGCATGGGTGGGACGCAGCTTCGTTCCAAAAAGAATAGAAGATGTTTTGAAGGAACTGCCTAACTTCTCCCTTGCTAGCATGCACATTCCGCCGACCCGGGTCCCGCTCTGTCCCGTTCACTGCATATCCCCAGTGATCAGAACCACTCCTGCTCAGGACAGGAGCTCAGTGGGGGACAGTGGGGACAGTGGGTGACCTTGGGGGTGCTGTGAGCACCGGCAGGGCCAGGGATCACTACCTACGTGCCGTGGACCCCCCACGCCTGTCAGTCTCGGCTGGGATCGTTTCTGAGCCCTCGGCATCACTGGTGAGGACCCTCAGTGGTGACGGTGTTGGGGACCAGAGCAGCTACACATGCCAGGTGTTGGCTTAGGCACTTTGCATAGAGGGTCTCATTTTCTCTGGATGTCACCATCCTGACATAGCAGGACAGGTCATCCGGACGCTCCTTCCTTTGCTGGTGAGGAAACGGAGGCTCAGCAAGGTTGGGCCTTTGAACCAGCCGCTGATGTTCTGGCCTCGCCTTTCACTGAGGAGGCAGAACAGGCCGGACAGGAGCGTCCTCAGACTCCCGCCACCAAACACCCTGGCCTTCTCCAGATCCCACCCCCTGCCGCCTCTGGAAATTCCTCCTCTGCTCGTCTCCTCCCCAGGAGCCCCTCTAGTCACCCCCACCCCCCCATCCCTCCCCTGCAGCAGAGGGGCTTCTCAGAGGTGCCCCTGCACCGATGGGCTGCTTCTCCCTCCTCCTCCCTGCTCCTGGGAACTGCACCCTCCTGGTTTGCCCCTGCTTCCCTGGCCATTCGGGCTCATTTCTGCACCGGCCTCTCCCCTGTGGCTCTGCTCCACGTGCCGACCGGCTCTGGTCCTTGTCTTGGACCTGCGTTCTGCTCTGTCTGCCCTCCCTCTGGAGACTCAGCCCCTCCTGGGCTGTGAGTGAGCCTCTTCTCCCCTGACTGCCTAGTTTAGTTCCAGCTCTGCCTGGAAGCTTGCTTTGCTCCACACTCACCTGCCTCGCTTCTCCCCCTCCTGCTGCTTCTGTCTGCCTCCTCCTTCTGAATGGCAGCACCCAGCTGCCTTGGAGGTGGTGCTTCTCTCCTGCTCCGCCTATTCTCCGGAATCCTCCGCACGCCGCTGGTTCGCTCCCTCCTGCCATCGCCCCAGCCCGCACTGCCCCCCTCTGTCCCCCGGGCCACTACAGGACGGCCTGACTCCTTTCCTTCTAGTTCTTGTCTGCTGTCCTCCCTCAACAGCGCCGGTGCTGTCTGCGGCTTCTGACAGTGGCGTGCCCTCCACGTCTCAGGCACTGTCTCAGGCCACGTACGTCCCACAGGTAGGACCACTGCGTCTGCTCTGCAGGCGGGAGGACTGGAGCACTGAGCAGTTAATTAAATTTGCCCAAGGTGAAGGCCGGGGTGAAAGCCCAGGCGGTGGAGCTCTGCAGCCCGTGCTCCTGGCTTCTGCACTGTACCGCCTCCCAGAAAGTCACTCCTGTCGCTCCAGGCCTCGAGCTGCTCACCGGGCCTGTGTGACCCTCCTGGTGGCCTGCCCCTATCTCCTGCCCCACGGCGCCGGGTGGTATCCTTAAGCACTTCACGTCCACCACAGGGCCTTTGCCCCAGCTGGCCCCTCTGCCTGGAAGCCTTTCCCGCCGGTTCCTCATGTGGCTGTGACCTCCTGGGCGTTTGGCTCCCAGCCTACCTGTCATCCCAGGGAGGCCTCTTGGTCCTGTCAACTAGCCGTTCCCTTTTCCTTAAACACGACCTTCCAGCCTTTGTAGTACTTACTGCTGTCTTACTTCACCTTCGTGCTTGGGTGGTAGTGTCCGCTGTGATATCTAACTTACAATGGGACGCAAGCCCCATGAAAGCGAGGCGTTGCGTTCTCCCTGTATCCTAAAGCCTGTTAGTATCGGGATCGGAGAGACATTCGGTGAGTGAACGAGTGAACTAGTGAAGGAAGGCGCACCTGGCATCTTGGGACTTAAACCAGGTGCTTTTGGGCCCACAGATTTTCCCACCACACCATATGCCTGCCGGTTCCTGCCGGCTTCGGCCTCCGAGAGCCCTCAAGCATGTCTGCGCTTCTTGTAGGTGATCCGAGACGTCTACAGCGGCTGCAGCGGGCCGGCGGATTTAGAAGGTCCTCCCCCGTCGATCTCTCCAGTGCACAAGACAGAGCTCGAGAAGGTAAGGGCATCTTTCTTCCCAGGAATAGTGCCCTTGCAGCTGATTTAGGCCTCCCTCAATGTTCTGATAACATTCTCTGAGAGAACTTTTTTGTCTGTTCTTGTTTTAGTCCGAGGTCTCCAGGAAGTAGAACGGATAGGGCGTGCTCGCGTGTGTGTGTCTGTGTTATCAAGTACATAGAATTAAGTGTAAAATGTTAAATACATTGCAAAGTTATGTAAGTGTGTATACAGATACATACAAGTACACATATATGTACACATACAAAGAGATTTATTTTTTTAAAGATTTTATTTATTTATTAGAACAGGAGCAGGGCGAGGGGCAGAGGGAGAAGCATACTCTCCACTGAGCAGGGAGCCTGACGTGGGCTCGCTCCCAGGACCCTGGGATCATGACCTGAGCCGAAGGCAGACGCTTCACCGACTGAGCCACCCAGGCGCCCCTGAAGAGATTTATTATAAGAAATTGGCTTATGTGATGATGGGGGCTGGCAAGTCTGAAATCTACCCTGTAGGTCTGCGGGCTGGAGACCCAGGGAAGCCAATGGTGCAGATGAAGTCTGCAGGCGGGCTTCTGGAGAATCCCCTCTTGTGGGGGAAGGTGGGTCTTTTTGTTCTAGCCTCCGCCTTCGCCTGATTGGGTGAGGCCCACCCGCGTTGTAGCAGGCAGTCTGCTTACTCGCAGTCCACTGATTTCAGGCCCATCTTCCTTCTTCAGACAGTTTAAAGCAGCACAGTCCTTGGCGTCTCGCACACGAGTCTTCGCTGTGTCTCTGTTACCTGAGAAGAGACTCCCAGAAGTTGGTTTACTAGACCAAACGGTAGAAATATTTCTTAGGATTTTGACTCATGCTGCTGAGCACACCGCTTTCCAGGCACGCTGCCCCCATAGCCCTTTGCTGAGCACGTCAGGGGTCCCGTTCCCCACGGGCATTGGCCGTTTTGATCTCTGGCCTCTAAGGCCGTCCTGTTAGCACCTGGCCAGGCTCCCCCGTGGCTCTGGACTATGATGTGCGGGACCGGGAGGGGTGAGTTCAAGTCCACCTCCTCCACCCTGAGGCCACAGTTCTCCCGTCAGAACGAAGGATTCCAGCTCTAAGCAGCATCTCTTCTTCAGATGCCAGCTCAGGGTCCCAATCATGCTCCTCATATCCAGATATCAGGGCTAAAATAATCCCAAGCACTCGGGCGTGCCCTTGGACGGTTTCGACTGTAGCTTTTCTCTGCATATACATTCAGAGGGCGTCTGTTACGGCAGATGTCTGACCTCACCCAATTACTGGTTGGCAACAGGAGGGAATTGAGCGGATGATGGGCTCTCTACTTCTGGAAGGATAACATGGCTTGGTGAGGGGCATATTTTTTGCAATCTTAATATTTTTTTCAAAATTACTTGCAAGTAAAAGTGATTTGGATGCGATGGGGTACCAGAGTGTGTGTTAGTAGCACCTCCGTGAGTTTGTTCTCCATTCCTCTGCTATTTCTGAAGCTTTAGCAGCAAGCCGGCCGGCAGCTGGTCTGTACCTGAGCCCTGGCCTCCCAGCACTGCCGTGGACTTGGCCACACTTCCTTCCACCGTGGGGATCACTGTGAACTGATCCCTGAAACATCACGCGGCCGTTACGAACCATGGTGAGAATAACTTAATCCTTTTTACCCTCATAGAAGCTGTCTTCTGAGAGACCCAGCTCGGACGGGGAGGGCGTTATGGAGAATGGAGTTGCTGTGTGTGAAGGAAAAGAACAAGGTGAGTTCTACTCGTGGCCCAAACCACAAACACCGAAACACAAAAACAAGAGTAAACAACAAAAATCAGCCGTGGCCAGCTCCGTGGGCTCTGATTGTGTGACAAGTCTCCTTGGAAGTTCAGTGATGTAGACGGCAGGGCCCAAGTTGCACATGGGAAGCACAGAGAGACCCTTTTGGTTGACGGGAGCCCCACATGTCTTCACCCGCCGTCCTACTGAACCCTGGCCCCGGGCGTAGGCGCCCTGCATATATCCTGACTCCTGGGCTCCTGGCAGCTCATTTCCTTACCTGATCTATCGCTGAAAGGAATTTGCAGCGGGTAGAGCTGGTTGTCACGTGGTAGCAGGTGGCAGAATGTCCTTCCTTTTAAGGCTGAATAAGATTCTGTTCTCTGGATGAACCACATCGTGTTTATCTGTCCATCCATCAGTGGGCCCTTGGGTTCTCCCACGTTCTGGCCATTGTGGACGATGCTGCTGTGAACACGGGCTTTTGGGTTTTGAATTATTTTTTTTCTAAGTCAGCTTTCCAAGCATAAATTATGACCATTTTAATGGGTATATAGTGCTCTGTAATTGTGGCTTTAATTTGCATTTCCCTAAAGACTAACGACGTTGAACCTTTTTTAATGTGCTTTTTTGCCAACCATGTATCTGATGAAATGTCTATCCAAATCTTTGCCCATATTTTTATTGGATTTTGTTCATATTTCCTGAGTTCTGAGAGCTCTTGATATATTTTGAATACAAGTTCTTTATCAATGTCTTGCTTCTCCCAGTGCATGGCTTGACTTTCACTTTCCTTCCCAGGGTGTCGGCCAAGAGGAAGGTAGGAGTTGCGGGTCGTGGGGGAGTTTTCTTTGTGCAAAGTCAACAGTCTATATGCTCGTGGCCCTGGGACCTTGGCTTCCCGGGGGAGCAGTCTGCCCACCCAGCTCATCTGTGCTCTCTTGCTAGAATGGAACAGACATCCCCCAGCTCTGAAATGAGGTCCCCTTCAACCAGACAGCAAGCCAGGCCACTAAGAATCTTGAAATCCAAGTAAGCTGGACTCTTGTGACATGACAAGGTTCACCCTGAAAGGTCATGGTCTCTGCCTTTGCCCATGTGATTCCCTAATGCGGTCGTGTCAGAGTGAAATTTCTGCTGTCTCCATCGGAAGTTACTCAGGGGAAGGCGTCATCTGTGTCTTCTGTGGGCACATAAGGTATAATCGAAGCCAGGAAAGCCGTCTTTAAGTTTTGCCCTGAAACAGAATAACCTACAGTCTCAGGTCCCTGCTCAGACGTGGGGCATGGCAGACACGGCTTCGGCCAGTCTCCTTCCTTATTTACCATTTCTGCCCTGGCTCCCTGCTGGAAATCAGGTTCACAGAATGATACAGATGTCTGGAGGTCTGTGTCAGGGAATGCATCTCTATCTAGAATTCCCCTGCTTCCTTTTCACAAGGAAGGTGACCCCGGGCTCACAAGTGTTCTGCTTTGCGTCTCGCAGACACTAAATCATCGCTGAAGGAAGTGGATAGTTTAAGTACATCCTTACTTCGACCTTAGCTTCTATCCCTGCTGCTCACACTCGAGCTCTTTGCCGTGAGAGATTTCAGCACGGCTCCCCTTTTCCCAGCCATGTTGTGACTCCGATTCTCTGCGGGCTACGCGGTAGTGTCCGCACTGATGATGGTTACGGCCCTACAGATGCTGGGAGTGAGGTTTGCCTCGGTGGCCCGCCCTTCCTGCCCGCCATGCGCTCGTGGGGTGTGATGTTTGGACCCCTGTGGCTTTCCTGCGCTCTGACTTCAGTTGAGAGTTCTGAGTTTTGGGGGTTTCTTCATAATTTTATTGCATGTTCCGAATTCTGCCTTTGTGTAGTAAAATAGCATGACGTATTCTCAAGTTCCTCCATACTTTGGCTTTTTCTTCCAAGGAGTCCCTTGTTTCTGCTTTTGCAAAAAATTAATCAGGGCTCCTTCTAGGAATTAAAAGTATGATCTCTTTTCTTTGTAGTCAGGGTCCCACAGGTGCTTTCCCAACAGGAGCACATGCGAGTAGAATTGGAAGTAAACGTAACCTCTTTGCTTTGAGCCAGGGGGAAGAGCTCTGCGTGCCCCGCGAGCTCTGTGAAAGGGGGCCTTCGGGGCACTCTGGGAGTGCCACCCTTGCAAAGCTTAGGTCGAATGGGACTGTGGTCACAGATGGTCTCACCGCTCTCTCGAAACACCTAAGAGGGGTCATGCACGGCTGCTTTCACTTTGGTGTGGCCATGCTGCAGACCCCCATGCCCGGTGGTAACTGGGGGAAAGGGGCCTTCCCGCTAAGATTACCATGGGTTCTTGGGGCTTTCTTTGAAAAGAGGGGGTGGTGGGTGTCGGGAGAGTGTAAGGAGAGGTGGGAGTGGCCTTCCTGCGTTCCCGCTTCTGTATCACACGAGGCCTTCACAAGACACCCCAGTCTGGGCCCTTAAACAACAGACGTTTATTTGTCATGGCTCGGCCGGCCAGGAGCCCCGGAGGGTGCTGCCATCAGAGCTGGTTGCCTGGGAGGCCTCTTCCTGGGCTGCGGACGGCTGCCTCCCCACTGTGTCCTCATGTCGATGGCCTTTCTTCTGTGTTCAGTCTCTTAAAAAGAACACTCATTCTGCCAGATCAGGGCCCTACCCTTAATGACCTCCTGGGACCCCATCACCAAATACAGCCATGCTGGGGTTAGGGCTTCAATGCAGAGATTGTCGGGGGCACCTCATTCAGTCTGGAAAAAACACTGTGTTTACCCAGAAATTTGGCATGGCTTCTTTTCTTTCAACTGTTGTTTCTAGAGAAGCAATAAGGGTCAAAACCAAGTGACTGAGCTCGGGGTGGCGCTGAGTCTGTGGGGCCAGGGAACACACTGGGGTGGGATGGGGATGTGGGCCTGCACCTGGGATCCTGCCGGTGGTGGCAGAGTGGGACAGGAAGAGAGAGAACTTCCCCACCCGCCAAGAGAGAATGAGTCATCGGTATTACAGGGGGCTTTAGGAATGAGGCCCCGGGGTTGTAATCCCACGTCCCGAGTCCCCTCTCTCTGAAATCATCCTGTGGCTATTTATGGTGTGTTCTTGTGCTGGGCTGAGCAGGAGGGGAAGGAATTCCTGCCTCATGACATTTTCAAAAGGGGTTATGACCCCCTGTGGGTTATAGACTGGGTGGTGGGAGTCACCCTGGAGATGGGGACACCAGGAGGGTTATTGGAGGCTGTGGAGCCCCTCTCTCATCCCACCCCATTCCGTTGTGAAGCTACACTTGACCCTCCCAGCGCCCCAGTGTCCTGTGCAGTCTGGAAAGTTGCCTTTTCCCCTTTGGCTCCACGACCAGGCACATCATGGCCCTCAGGTGGTGGAATGAGTGACATGTCCCTTTGCAGAGTTGCTGTGGGAGGAAGGATCTTGTCTCCCAGTCCTGGGTGCGCTCTCTCACACACCTCTGATCTCCACGAAATCCCAGAAGGGGGTCCAGAGTTGCCAGATCTTCCAGTTTCCCAAAGGAAGCCAGAAATTGTTTTGAGGCACGGTATTTGTGAATTTGATATATTGGGCATGACTTCATAATTTAATACCCTGCAGGCAAAAGCAGACCATAATGGGCCGAGAGTTCTGGAGAGTGCAGAGCTACATTCACGTCTCAGGGATGCGTGAGGGGCTGCTTAAGGGCTTCCTGGGACTGGGGAAGACCCGCCTCCCCCTTTCCCTCCCTCATCCCCTCCCCGAGCTGGCCAAGGTGTGGCCACACTGACTCTGTTCCTCACACCCGTCCAGCTACCCCCAGCCTCATGGCCTTTGTGTTGGCTGAAGCTCTTCTTGCCCAGAACGTTCTTCTTCTTTTTTTTTTTTTTTGAGATTTTATTTGTTTATTTGAGAGAGAGAGAATGAGAGAGAGAGAGCACAAGAGGGAAGAGGGTCAGAGGGAGAAGCAGACTCCCCGCTGAGCAGGGAGCCCGATGTGGGACTCGATCCCGGGACTCCAGGATCATGACCTGAGCCGAAGGCAGTCGCTTAACCAACTGAGCCACCCAGGCGCCCCAGAACGTTCTTCTTTGGGTTCTCCACAGCCGCTTCCTCATCACCCAGCTCCCGGCTCAAAGTCGCCCTCCCCGGAAGGCTTCCCCTTCCACCCAGTACCTCTGCCATGTCACCCCACTGTAGCTCCCTGCCCGGGCCTGGTGCCATCGGGCCGCCTCCGTGTGTGCACGTGTATACATGTGTGTGTGCATGTTCTCAGCCTACTTTAGAACAGGAGATCCCTCAGAACACCTGTGTTTTGCTGTCTTCTGTGTCAACACCAATAGCTGGCACAGAGAAGGTGCTCAATGGGTAAAAAATGAGGAAAATAAAATTGACTATGATTTATGCTTTATTTCTATTTTTTCTCAGTTAAAGTCTATCATTGAAACACACTTTCTTGTTTTCATTGTTCTTGACAGTTAAGAGGAAAAAGAGTTCCAAATCAGAGGCCAAGGGAACTGTGTCCAAAGTCACTGGGAAGAAGATCACCAAGATCATCGGCTTGGGGAAGAAAAAGCCCTCGACAGATGAGCAGACCTCATCCGCGGAGGAGGACGTCCCCACCTGCGGTAAGACAGAGGGTGCCTGGCCGTGAGCAGTGCTCACCTGGCACTTGGCCTCTTCTGGAGCGGCCTCTGCTTTGCGTGGGCTTGCACGAGTCAGGCTGGTGATCCTCAGAATGGTGGGAGATGTACTCCATCTTGACTGCTTATTAATAAAAGATCTCGCAGGGGTTTGACATGATCTCTGAGGTTCTTTCAAGATTAAAAACAAATTCTTTCTTTGATCCTATGACGTGCTCCCAAATTCCTTTTAACCGTTTCGAAGCTGGGGCACATGCACATGCCTTGGCGAGCAAAGGAAGGAGCGCGGAGCGTGTGGGGTTACAGTTGGCGCACTCCCCTGGGCTGACACGGTAAACCAGCTGTCCTGGCAGCGCTGCGTGTCTCAGACCTCAGTTTCAAGGGCAGCCTGCTGGACCACTCCATCGTCAGTCTGACACCTGGAGTCCTTTCCGAGCAGCTGCCCCCACCGGGACGGGGTGGGTGCCCACGACGCGGCTCCGGCCCTCCCAGGGCTTCCGCTCACATGGCAGGGACAGGTCTGAACGAGCAGTCACAGGGAGAGACGTGCAGTGGGACCCGGTGACTAAGAGGGGGGAAGCCAGGGCATCGGGAGCGTCTCCAGGGACCCGAGTGAGGTGGCGGTGCGGGCGGGGTGGCTGTAGGGGAGGGGTGGAGGGTGAGGTTGCATAGCCATACCGTTTCCTCAGCCACCGTGCAGCCCTTCGCAGGAGAAGAGCCCTGGAAGCCGGGCGACAGGGCTTCGGCCTCTGTTAGGAATTGCGGATGGGCTATAGGTGCCTCATGTCCTGTCAGCAGGTCCCCAGTCGCTTCCCTCTGCGGACTCGCTCTGCTCACCCCTGTGTGGCCGTGAGCATCCATCTGCCCAGGGGATGGGCCTTATCCGGGGATACGCTGCCCCAAGTGTCCCAAGTTGGTCCTACAGACAATGATGAAGTAATTCACCAGCCATCATGTCCCAGGATGTGAGCTGTGCCAGGACGACAGAAGAGTCGGCTCCGCGGCAGGCGGGGCCGGGGGGGCGGGTCGCTCAGGGGGTGGGTGCCTGGGCATGGGGAGCCAGGCTTGTGCTGTGCCCTGAGGGCAGGTCCGGGGGAGGTCCCAGCTCCCTCTGGCCTTGACGGTTGTGCTTCTAGGAAGCCCCACATGAGACTTCAGTGGGCCCGGTAGAGTCACGTCCTTCGTCAAGCCTTGGCCACCCTGGGTCGGGGTGCACCGAGGGGCAGAACGACAGCAGACCACACAAAGCTCTAGCACCGAGGGGCAGAAGGAAAAACATGAATCTGTTGATGCCAAGGTGCTATTTCCTGTCCGCCTCTGCCTTCCTTGGTGCATTAAGAAGCACTGGGTGGTGTGGGGTTCTTTCTCCTTTTGGGTTGGCCCTGCAGAAGAGTTAGGGATTAAAAATGGAAAGAGGGAATTATCCAACAAAGGGAACACCTTTTTTAGCTTCATTTTTGGCTTTTTTTTTTTTTTTTAGGTTTATTTGTTTGAGAGAGAGAGTGCGTGCATGAGCGGGAGAGGGGCAGAGGGAGAGGGAGAGAGGCTCTCTGGCAGACTCCCTGCTGCGTGTGGAGCCTGACGTGGAGCTCGATCTTAGGACCCTGAGATCATGACCTGAGCTGAAAACCAAGAGTCTGACACTTAACCGACTGAGCCACCCAGGAGCCCCTCGTTTTTGTCGTTTAACTTGCTCTAGGTCAGCGGAAGAAGTAGAAATTCTTTCATGAAAAGCAACATTCATGTGGAAGGCAAGGTAGACACTGGGGTCCAGACCCTCGTTACAAACCAGAACACTGAGCCCCACAAGCTGACCCAGCTCTGCCCCTGCCTTCTGCATCTGCCCACTCGTAAACCCTCATAAACAGCCTCTCTGTGTTGGTGCTCAGGCCCTGCAGGAAATCCTGTTGCTGGCACTTTTTCAGAAACACAGTTGGCCGCTCCAAGGGCAGGAAGGGGGGAATCTGGAGCCTATAATTACACATGTGTGGATTTCTACCAAACAGCTCAGGGGACATCTTTTGCCTCTATTAAGAGAACTTCCTCTGTCCACAAGATTTTAAGACTGTCACCTAGGTCTTCGCTGGGTGCAGGGGCCAGAGAAGGGGCCCGTAGAGGAAGGACGGGGGGCGGGGCGGGGATGACTGTTCTCAGTGATTTTGGTACAGCTGCAAAGTTGTAGGCAGAAAATGTCAGCTGGGTAAAGGCCCGAGACGCCCACCGTGCCAAGCTGGGGCCACGCAGCCCCAGTCCCTATGCTGTGAGCATAGCCACGCGGGCCGGGCCGGAGGGGCCATGCTGCTAGGCAGGCAGAAGAGAGCTTCCGGGAGCAACCAAGACCTGGGTTCAAATCCACTCTTCCTGAAATGTGGCAGCTGGGCCTCCAGATGCATGATAAAAACCCTGTTGGGGGTAGGAGATGGTTTCTGCAGACACCCCCAGGGGGAGCGGGGAGGGGCAGTGAGCCCCCCAGCCAGCCCTGTAGCACCGCTTCTTCCTGCCCCGACGCCCAGCAGTGATGGGGGCGTCAGCGGGGTGAGCGCTGCGCACAGCCACGGGCATGCCGTGGTCTGAGATGTACACCAGACCCCAGAAGGGTCTGCTGTTTGCCCTTCTCTGGTGCTTACGAGAGTGTCTGTAAACCCAGCGGTCGTTGTCAGGAAACGTGTGTCCTCTCGCTCTCTGCGGGTCTGTCCCCTGCGGGGCCAGCGCACCAGTCTCCTGACTGGCCGCCTTCTCTGCACCCTCCAGGCCACCGGGGGGAGCTGCGGAAACAGGGTCCTAGGCTGAAACACGAATCTCCGTGCGGCTCAGCTCAGAGCCTCTGACAGTCTCGTCTCAGCCCGGTTCTGCAGCTGTCTCCCGCCTTCCGGGATGAGACTCAGAACGACCTTGCGCCCCAGCCGCACCCCAGCCGCGCCCCAGCACCCAGCAGCACAGTGCCTGGCACACGAGCAGCTCCGCCAGCTCACTGGCGGAATGACTTACCTTAAGCAAATTGCATTACCTCCCTGAGCCTCAGGTTCTTCCTCTGTGAAACGGGCTCGTACTTACCTTGTTTTCCTAAGGAAACTGAAAGATAAAATCATGAACACTAGGCTCAGTGCTTAATAATTAAGTCATAATTTATGCTCAGTAAGCGGTTGCTCTTGTTACTCATTGGTTCACCTAATGTGCTTATTTTTAAGAAACCTGAGCACACAGACATAGTCCAGGCAATGTAAGGGCAGTGCCGGTGCGTGGCATGGGTCATAAGGAGCACAGGAGCTGGGCGGAAGGAGCGGACCCAGGTCTCAGGTGGCGGTCTCCATGGGGCAGCATAAGCTGAGCTCACTTGAGGGCCTTGCTGGGTGATTCCAGGGCCCCTCCTAGCTCAACTGTTCTGTGACTTTGTGACATTTTCAGCAGGAGCGTTTTTCAGTGGACATACAGGGAAGTTCTATACCTCTTACCTTCTATCACAATCTACCCAACAAAAAAATCAGGCGACTTCAGTCAAGGGGGTGGAAAGCGTTCTGGGTATAAGTCACCGCCCTGGGGCGTCGGCATCCTCGTTCTTGGGCACGTGCGCCTGTTGGAGGACCGGCCCCTAAGATGGTCAGATGGGATTTGGGCACCGGGGGGACTGGTTTCGGCCGGTGGCAGCATCGTGACCTTTGGTGTCCCCGGCCCCTCTCTCCCCGGGATGTCTCCTCCCAGCTGATTATAAACCAAGACCTGCGCGTGAGACCAGCCGTCACACGGGGATGAGAGGCCTCTCAAGAGCGGGACCAGAGCCTGGCAGGCAGACGCCACGTTTCCCGCCCTACAGAGCGGAACTTGGTGGACACTTGGCCCCACTTCCGCCGGCTCTTCTGCAGCTGCTTGAACTTGGGAGCCCTGGTGCGGAGGCTGTAATGGGTCTCTAATGTTACTTTTACAGCTCTCATGAAACCTTGGGCCTCTTGCCATGGTTTTGCGAGAAATCTTAGAATTCAGAGCAAGAATCATCTCAAAACATCTAACTGACGTTTCCAAACTGCAAAGATACGGTAACATCTCACTTAACATGATGGGTGGGATCTAAAAAGAAATCAAATTGCATTGAAATTGTCTCATGCGGTTGGTGGAACTGCCCTGGGCGGGCGGGTGAGCCTGGGGTGGGGGGTGCGGTTCTCAGCAGAGGACCCCTGGAGGACCCAGCTGTCCGGGCAGTATGCTGGCCGGGCCGCACTCGGGCACCACCTGGTGGCAGCTGTGTGCTGTGGCTGAACTATGCGCGGGGCCCATCGGCATGAGTCTCCACCCACCCCATCAGAGAGTCAGGGGGCATGGGAACCTACCCTGTGACTCCAGATGCCTTCGATGGCCTGTCCGTCATTTCCCTGTGTTCCCCACCCCGAAGATGGGAATGTAAGGCCACCCCTCTCAGAGAGGAGCAGAGGGGAGTGAGCCTGGCACTGGAGGCTGGTACCGTGGGCTTTCCTGTTTATAGAAACGGGCCGCTCATCCCCTGTGATTTTCTCTTTGCCTTTCCCTTTTGGGAACTGCAAATTAATCTGAGAAAGGCATTAAAACATGGTAATTTCCTATGATGTCATGCTCTAAATAAAACGAGGGTTTGTCCGATATAATCATTCCTTTTGTGACTCAGATGTCAAGAAATTCATAGTATTGGTGACTTTGGGCTGGGTTCAGTCAGGGAAGAAGATATCCCGAGAGTGCCTTGACCTGCTCCAGAGATGAGCATCCCCCTGGTTAGTGGAGCGTGCTCGGTAGCTGCCCCCTCCACACTGCGAAGGGGTGCACCTGAGCCAGAGTGGCCCCAAGTGCCAAGTTCTCCAGTAGAAAGTCCCGTGCAAGCTTACAAGGAACCTGGTCACTGTTATCAAGAAGTCAGCTATGCTCTTAGGTCTTATTGCTTAAATTCCTCAACAAAGGGGCGCCTGGGTGGCTCAGTCGGTGAAGCGTCTGCCTTCAGCTCAGGTCATGATCCCAGCGTGCTGGGATGGAGCCCCCCTTTGGGCTCCCTGCTCAGTGAGGAGCCTGTTTCTCCCTCTGCCTGCCACTCCCCCTGCTTGTGTGCTGTCTCTCTGACAAATAAATAAATAAAATCTTTTAAAAATAAAATAGCTTCAGGTCAGGCTTTGCTGGGTAGCCTGTACCCCGTCACACATCAGGAGTAACCTCCTTCCCCTGATTGGACCCCGGCCTCTCTTTTCCTCCGTGCACTCCCTCCTAAACTTACAAAATATAAGGAACTTGGGTCCCAGGCACTTGAGCCAATGGGCTGGCTTCTCCCCTTTTTCTCTTATTTTATAAATACAGCAACATAGGCCCCAAATGAAAGCTTTTGTTCCAGGAGAAGCAGCGCACCTTGCATTTAGGGGTTATCGGTAGAACGGATGTCACGCCGAGCCAAGTGAAAACTTCCACACTATGTGTTCACCTCGGGAATTCATTGAGCAAGTATTTATCTGTCATGTAGAAAGCATCCTTAAGCCCTGTAACTTACCTGCGTGTTCAGGGTTTTATTTTATGGGATTCCATAGTGTTTACCCATTGCTAATGACGTGTGTAAGACGCAGAAGCTAAGTGTGTTAGAGACACGGAGAGAAGCAAAACGCACCCTCCCAAACCTTTCGGAAAGGCATTAAAAAATCTGAACTGGAGAGGATCCCTTGTGCGTGGGCGTGTGTGTCACATGCGCACGCATGCGTGAATTGAAAAAGTGGCTGATGACTTAAGACACCCTCATTTTATTCCTTCCTTTTTGACCTGAGTTTTCTGTGCCGTGGAGTGGGTACAAGGGGCAGCTGCCCTGTGAGATCTGGTTCCCGTGCCTCGTTAGCTCACATCGTGTATGTTCGTCTGCTCATCGGTTTGTGGCAAACGAGAGCGATCAGTTTCTCTCGTATTTGAGGAAATTTCCTTTTTTAGAAATGATGATCACTGTTCTTACGATTTGATCCCATGTGCAGGGGTACACAGATCTCCCCAGAGCGGTAAAGGCACCGTGCAGGATCAGAGACATGGGCTTTCCATCCCATCTGGGTGGGCTTCCCCCGTCCAACAGAATCCTCAAACTGCAGGAGCTCAGGGGCTTGTGGGGTGGGCTGTCTGCCTAACGGGGAGCCCGCAGAGCTGGCTGAAGGCCTGTGGGGGTCTGGCTTCCGCGCGCTGACCGTCTGCCCTCGGCCCCCTTGCAGGCTACCTCAACGTGCTCTCCAACAGCCGTTGGCGGGAGCGCTGGTGCCGAGTCAAGGATAACAAGCTCATCTTCCACAAGGACAGGACCGATCTCAAGACCCACATCGTTTCTATTCCTCTGCGCGGCTGTGACGTGATCCCGGGCTTGGACTCCAAACACCCCCTGACCTTCCGACTGCTTCGCAACGGACAGGAGGTGGCCGTGCTGGAGGTAAGGTGCCGGCCGCGGCCACACTCCCGAGATCCTTCCCTGGGGCACCGTGGCTTCTGGCCGTGCCCTTCATGCCCATGGTGGTGGCCTCTGCCGGCCTTTTCTGTCGCCTCCTCCCCAGGCCGGTTTCCGTTTGTACTTGGCGGTACAGGCCGCCCTGCGCCCGCCCACCACCCGGCTTCCTTTCCTCTGCATGCTTTTGCGTGGAGATGAGCTACGCGACTCCATACAGCCCACTGCTTTCTAAAGGTGGCAGAAAAATAACTCGTTTTGCCCCTATGGCCCACCTGCGAATCAATGGTGTTTGTTTAATTTGCCTTTTGGAATGTTCTTTACAGACGAAACAGGTGTTTTTAGATAACCCTATAGACCGTGGCTCATGTGCCAATCCCATGGAAACCGAAAGAACACCTTTAATTCTGAAGCGCCCTCAGCTTTGTGTGCATCTGTTACGTGTCTGCCTGCTTTTCTGGAACAAATTCTTCACTAAAGCAGAAAAGCAATTGAACCTGGTTTCTTAGCTATCTGCTGAAAACTGCCAATTTTACTTTCCACCTATTACACAATTTATTTTCTGCTCACTGTGAATTCAGACCTCCTTTTCTTTATCTTTTTGTTCATTTACATTATCATGACTAAGACGCAGACTCGCGTGCACATGCAGCTGTGCACAAGCACCAGGGCTGTGAACTTCCAGAGTTCGCAGACGTGGGCTGTGTCGGTGGCAGAAACAAGGCTGCGTTAGGTTTGCTGCACAGGCTCGGGTGCACTCCATTACTCAGGGGTAGACCCAGAGTCCAAACGACCGTAGTGCTAGATGGATGGAGAGCGAGCCCGGGGCTTGGGGCCAAGATCGAGGTGGCCCGTGAGGCCGTCTAGAAGGTCTCGATGGGAGATAGGAGTTTGTTTCGGAGACTCTTTTCACAGAAACGACTATTTTTCGCGGGGGCAGGAAAAGACTAACACTGTTCTTCGTCCCACGGGCTGGTAACCTGTGAGGCTGGCCAGGATGGAAGGTGGCCGGCTGTGGACTCGTGGGCCTGGGACCGCCTGGGGTCCACCTTCCTGGGCCCCCATCCTCATTCTGCCCCCACTGGGATCACACCACGCCTTTTTTTCTCCCTGGGCTTTTTGATTCACCTATAAAATGTGAGTGTTGGGCCAGAGTCTGTACTTAGTAAGATTTATGCAGGCTGAAAACTGTAGGGTGGGTGCAGGGGAGACAGCTAAAAACACAAAGGAGGAAACTGTGGCCTTGATGTGAAACAAGGCAGGTGTCCTGGGCCAGCTTCGGCAGCAGCCCTGGGATGGGGCACAGTGGGGGAGGTCTGAGTTGGCACATGCCTGATCCCGGAAGGGAGAGAGGCAGACCCGGGGGCGGCCTGGTGAGGAAGGCATCCTTGTGCACCTGCAGCCCGCAGGTGGGAAGGGCCCCCAGTCCTTGTGAGGGAGGGCAGCCCCTTCCTCCATGTCCCGGTCATCAATCACACACACACATACACACACACACACACATGCAGAGCCACACGGCACCCAACACACACAGGCAGCCTGCATCGCTCAGTCATGAAATGCAGTGCACCAGCCAGGAAATGTAATCTGTATGTTTTCTAAGGTCATTTTAACTTTTACTTTGAGATAATTTCAGGAAAGTCATGATAATATTAGAAATAATTTCCATGCACTCTCCATCCATATCCCCCAATAATAATATTTTCCTGTGTGTGGGGTCTCCTGCGCTCCCCCCTCCCCCATTCCTCTCCTTCTGTGTGAAGTTTCTCAGCCTTTTACAGCTGTGTTGCCCCTTTATTCCCTCAGTACTTTATTGCGAATTTGCTAAAAGCAAAAGCATTCCCTTACCAAAACCAGAATATAATTATCAAAATCAGGAAATTAACATTTACACACCCCTGTAATCTGATCCATAGATCTTAATCGGCTTTTCTGAGCTGGACAGTGTCCCTTGCAGGCAGGAGGAAACCCCAGAGTGTGCGTCGCCTCAGCCACTGTCTCTTTCTCCGGCTGGCTGGCCTCCTGGTGTGGAGACGTGTGGAGGATACAGACCAGTTACTGCATAGAGGCCGCGCAGTCTGGGCGCATCTGCTGTTTCCCTGCTGTTGGGCTCCAGGTGGGCTCCCCGGCCGGAGCCCGTGGTGGGTGTCGCAGCACGTCCCACCGGCAGTTGCACCTGTCACCTCCCCCCCCCAACAGCCAATAGTGTCCACTTTTCCCCCTTGGGCAGGGTGTCTGCGCGGTTTCCCCACTGCACACTTACTGGGCTTTCCCTTTGTCTTTAAAAGCATCGTATGGGAAGGTATGTTGAGGCCATCTATGTAAATACCCCGTTATCACTCACTTCTGCGCCTGCTAACGTTAGCGTCCATTGATGACGCTTACCTGAAACAGTCGTTACAATGACAGGTGCTAAATAGGGACTTTGAAACTCCATCATTCCTTCTATACACATTAGTTCACATCTACTGTAAGGAAGGTTTCCCGCTCCTCCCATTTAATTATTAATCCCTTTATGTATGTATATCAGTGGGGATTCAGAAAATATTGTTTTAATCAGTGATTATATGCTTTATTGTCATGATTTACTTTGGTGGAATCATCCCAGATTTGGTCAGCAGAAGGCCCTTTGAACTCACCCCTGCGGCCTTTGCTATGTCCCTGGGATAAGACACCACGGGCCCCTCCATTCTTTGATAAGATGTTCTGGGCTCATCTTGTGCCTTTCCTTGCCCCTCAGCCATTTCTCCAGAGAGCTCTTAGTGGGTTCCTCCAGGTGGGACTCAGAAATAGGTGTGTGTGTGTGTATTTGTGCGCGTGTGTATGTTATGTACATGTACGTATTTGTAAACATACATATACACACGTATGTGCATTCACACATCCACATCCGTATCTATTTCTGTATTAAGAACCATGAGATCATAACCAATAACCTCTAATTTCAGTTCAACATCACAGGGTTTTTTTTCCACAAGCCTGTGAGAAAATTCTATAAACTATGAAGAAAATAATTAATGAGCTCTAGTGTAATTGTATCAATCCCATGTTATATAGTGTGTTAAAATACTTTTAAAAATGCTTAGGTAAGGTAGTAACAGACACATCAGTATAGATTTAGTCACAGATACATCGTGGCTACAGATTTTGTTTTGGGGAAGGACAGAAAGACCAGTGAAGATAACATATTTTTGATTTTTATTTACCCAAGTATTCAAATGAATTCATTTTCATTCCATGAACATTGGCTACATTCTCCCTCTGCAAGGCACATGACTGGAGTCCCTGCAGCTTGTCCTGGGGCCTCACTCAGTACTGGGTAGGAGGGATTTATTACTAGCCAGTTGTATGAGCACTTGAAAAGTAGCTTCTCTCATGTTAACGGCCCTGGGAATATTTACAATTACATGTATTCTGATCTCTGTTCAACTTGTCAAGCCTGTAAATATAAAACCTCATTTTCTTTAAGTCTTTAAGCTAAACTTAATAGATCTTTCTGGGACACCTGGGCAGCTCAGTCGGTTAAGCATCTGCCTTCAGCTCAGGTCATGATCCCAGGGTCCTGGGATCGAGTCCCTTGTCGGGCTCCCTGCTCAGTGGGGAGCCTGCTTCTCCCTCTCCCTCTACTGCTCCCCCTGCTTGTGCTCTCTCTCTCTTTCTGACAAAATAAATAAAATCTTTAAAAAATAGATCTTTCTTTATATTGAAAATTAGTAATTTTAATGAAAATATTTATTTTTTCTTTCACATTCCATTAACTCATGCACTTAATAGCTCAACGTCCCCTAAACTTTAAACATCATATTCTGATGAATCAAATGTTTTGAATACCATTATAAATGTAAAACTTCTGATTTTCTAAATCATGTCACAAGGGTGACTTAGAAATTTAATGAACAGGATCTTAAAGCTATATTTCAGACCGGCACATTCAGCAGATCAAATTTGGGGTGGGGACCATTTCAAATATCTTAAAAATGTCATGCATAAAGCAGCTAGGGGCTGTAAAGCATGATTGCGCTTACATAAACACAGCAGATAGGAAAGAAAGTCGTTGTACCATCTAATCAGGGGAATTAAGATTGCCATTTCAGGCCAGATTAGGAGGCCCCAACAAGGGCTACGGGGTGGGGGACAGAGCTTGGAGCCCACAAAGGTGTGGGTCCCATGGGGTTTCCAGGTCAGGCAAGGCCCAAGTTGGAGGGGCTCCTCCTTCTGGCCAGATTTCGTTGCCAAGTTAATGACACTTTCTAGGCAACTTCCTCCAACTGAGATTTAACTCCCTGCAGCAATTCCCGCACCTCACACCTGCTGCCTTTCCCCAAAGTAATCAGATGGCACTATAGGACTCAGATTTTGTTTCCTTGGGTGGAAATCATGCTGTAACTTCCTGCATTGAGACTTAGCGTGCACGCAATATGAGTGCATCGCTCAGGCTGGGACGGCGCCTCCACGCCTCTTTATGCCCCTCACGTGCTTTTGGTCGCATTGGCTTTGCTGCTACACGGTGTCTATGCAGATGTGCGGGAATATGAGACCCCTTACCATCACTTAAGTGCACGCACGCTTCTCCCTTCTCCTCCCCAGGCCTCCTCTTCTGAGGACATGGGCAGATGGATTGGCATTTTGCTGGCCGAGACGGGGTCCTCCACAGACCCTGGGGCCCTGCACTACGACTACATTGACGTGGAGACGTCTGCGAACGTCATCCAGACGGCCAAACAAACCTTCTGGTAAGATCCGTGTGAAGTGGCCCTGAAGCCAAACAATGCTCTTCTTTCACTAATTCTTTAACTTTTTGTGTGCATAGACGCGGGGGAAAAACAACTAAAGACTCTCCCTTTTGTATTATGTTGATGCAAACTCTGCTGAAATATTTGTCATTTCCTCCCTCTGTGTTTTCTGTTGGAGCAGGGGTGGCGAACTTTCTCTGTAAAGTGCAAGACAGTAAGTATTTTTGGCTTCGGGGGCCAAATGTTTCCTGTTGAAGCTGCTCACTCTGCCATCACAGCCACAGACCGTGGGTAAGGGAACCCGTGTGCTGTGTTCCGATACAACTATTTGCAAAAACACGCAGCAGACTGGATGGGTCCCATGGCCTTAGATCGCTGACCCCTGTATTAAGGGGACAATTCTATGCAACAAATGATTTACATCTGCTGTAAGGAGGGCTGAATTTTCAAGGTCATCGGTCATGTACTTTTAAAACTTAAGTTGTGGTTTTATTTTCTTTAAAAGGCTTATTTGTATGAAAACATTGTTTTGAACCGTATTTCTGTAACATAATGACAATGAAGATAATGATAGCAGCAATTCCCAAGGTTAGGTCCATAGACCCTGAGGGCATTTGAGATTCAGGCAGCCCAAAAGGCCAGAACTGGTTTCATAATAGTACTGGTCTGTAAGGCCTTTGCCCTGGGGCTGTGAGGGGAGGGGCGCTGGATGAGGAGGAGGGAACTCGGGCTCTGGTCCTGCGTGGTGTTCACTAAGTGGAAAGTCTGGACAAGGGATCTATAACCTCTCAGTGCCTGAGCTCCCTTTGTAGAGACCAGGCTAGCGGAGGCAGTATCTGGGGCAACATCTGGAGCTTCCTCTGGTCTCCTGTCTACAATCCCTGGACCCCTGCTTCTGCTACCCTCATCGGTAGAGAGTCTGCATTTGAAGCCGAGGACAGGCGCCTGGGAACAAAGCAGGTGATTGAGTTGTATCGTCTGCCTGTGATGATGAACATACCAGCAGCTCTGTGATGGGGAGACCCAGTATCCACAGTGACACTGGCCTGTTTACCATGAGCTCCACCATCTAGTTTGAACACGAGTGTGGTGTGCGGGGGGAGTTCGAGCAGTCTCCGTGTGTCTCTCGAGTGGTGCTGTAGAAGGAACATTTAGTGCTTGGCTGGGATGCTCTGGGGCCAGTAGAGGCAACATGAGCTCCTAGGAGGGATCGAGCCCCATGTTATGCCTAGCTCAGGTGAATAGCCTTGACAACATGGATTAATTTCTGTACGACTCTTTCAGAAAATCTCCAGTGACACTAGAGGTTTCCTAAAGTCTAGACTCCCTGTACTTCTTACAGACTGTCCTTTGTGTCAAATCAGGGTGACATAGTCAAGTACTGACTCTTCTGTTCCTATTCATTATTTTTCCATAAACACCCCCTATCCCGTCGGCCATGTGCACGTGGATTACAGTGAACCCCCTAATCATTCAGCACACACAGTAAACAAGCACATTTAATCAAGTGGCTTTTTAAGAAATGTAATATCCATAAACCGGGTTTTGCAAAATCTCCACATCTAGAGCAACATGAAAGAAAGGAGTTTGTGGTTTTTAACTGCTCCTTTGGAACTTTATTAGATCATGGAGCCCCTCCTCATGCACGTGTGTCTTCAGCTGTAATCAGCCAACTAATAACCACACATCAGAGCAGCCCGAATAACAGGATTTCCCCTAGAACAAAACTCAGCCTCCGCTTTCCAGATGAGTATTAATCTAAACCAAATGTGGGAAGGTCCTGGTTTTGAGAAAGGAGCGTAGATTGCAGTATTGAAAAATTCTTTATTAAAAATACATGCGTAAGGAGTTTTCGGCCACAGGAATTTTTGCTACTAATTAAAATCTTTGTAAATGTTAGTTAGCAATAAATGTTATTTTCGTTTTCCAGTTCTCTAGCTAAACGTGTATAAAACTTGAGAGAAGAGATTTAACAAGCAAATGATGTTCAAAATATAAAATATGGCAGCTTGCCAGTGTAATAAATGTCCTGAGATTAAATTAATTTTTGCTTTTATGCAAATTGGCAGCTGGTTAATGAATCCTTTCAAGGTCGTCAGGGGGAAGTGTCTGTGTGCTGGATATGTCTGAGGGGGAGAGGACAGTGGTGTATTTTGGGAAGAAGGCAGTAAAAGAAGAAATAGTCATTTAAATTCTCCCGGGAGAAGTGTATTTAGGCATATCAGTAACGGTAAACACTGGAATCTATTTTCCCAAGACCTAGCCTATTTTTAAATGAGATGCATAGATTATCTGACACAAGGAAACATTCTGAATTTTTTTTCCTAAAACTGTTTTCAAGCGGCCCGTGAGCAGGCTATAGTCATAGTGGTGGAGCTAAAAGGCCATGGATCAGTGTGGGCAGAGAGAGGGCAGCGGACAGACCAGAAGGGACCCGTCAACCTGAGTCGCCTTCTCACAGGAACCCCTTAAAATGGGCATGAACCTCAAGGGTGTTGTGCTGGGTGAATGAGGCAGGAACAAGGGCACGCGTTCTGTCTGATGCACTCCTGTGGCTAATCCACAGAGGCAGGAGGCAGGTGTGGGCAGGTGCCCGGGGCAGGGCGGGGGGTGGGGAAGCGCTGGGGTGGAGGGCCGTGCCAGCCACCCAGCCGCATGGATGCACTTACCGCCCCAGAACCGCACACTTGGCCATGGTAAGATGGTAGACCTTACATTGTATTTTCACACAGTACGTGTACTTCCTCTGAGGGGCTTACGTTTTTAACAAGTGGCGTGGGCTCTCTCACTGCATTTCCACTTTTATATGTGGTTCAAGACTCTGTTGCACCCAGGCAGAGGACGGGGGCCTGGTCCGCAGACAGGGCTCCACGGGTGACCCTCTGTGTTGGGGTGTGGGTCCCTCCCTGGAAGGCCCAGGCCTCTTCCAGCTGGGGCACCCGTTCGTCTGTGGCTTTGCTCACTCCCACGCCCCGTGACACGCAGCACCCTGCTGGTGTCCGCTCTGAGCTCTGTCCTGCCCCCAGTGGGCCCTGCTCCGTCCTGGCGTCCCTGCCCAGTGTGCATGGTGCCACATGGCAAGCACGTGATGGTCTCTGCTGCTGGGGCTGCAGACGCCCAGGCACTGACCGCTGGGCGGGGTGTGCAGCAGCCATGTGCCCGTGGTGCCTCACCCCCAAAACCCCTCAAACGAGACGTTTACATTAGAAAAACTTAAATATATATTTTAAGACAAAAAATCCTCTGTTGTGGCAGAAGACTTACGTGATTAAATTTTTCTCTTTCCTTCTTGCATGTTCCTTTTCTACACATTCCCTTTTCCTATACATAATTATCTGTATCGTGAGTACAGAATAATCCTCTAAGTTTTTGTCTGTTGTGAACACATGAAAGAGTCTGTGTGAGGTGGGACTGCCGTGCCCGCCTTCGCCCAGCAGAGGGCGCGCCTGCACTCGGAACCGCAGGGAGAGGCCCCCTGGACCGCAGTTTCCTCTGCTTCTCCGGGGAACCAGGGGCTGGCCTCGCTGGGAGACCTCCTCATTCCCTGTCCTGCCCTCACCAGTTTTATTTCCTCCCATTTTTATGCATCTAGTTATCACAGAAATGTAAGATCCTGCAAAGAAACAGTTTTTTAAAAATACCATTTGGGGGGGAGGCACCTGGGTGGCTCAGTTGGTTAAGCATCCAACTCTTGACTGAAGCTCAGGTCTTGATCTCAGGGTGGTGTCTGAGCCCTGCATTGGGCTCCACACTGGGTGTGGAGCCTACATTAAAAAAAAAAAAAAAGTTTATATAATTCCAGACTATTTTAGTTTAGCTATTTACTTCTTTACTTTAGTGTAGAAGCAGTGCTCTCTGAGTTCTCTCTTCCCTGGGCGCTTACATCTCCCACTTCTAACAAACATAACTTCACGAGTCAGCCGTTGGCACGTCCTTGCATCCAGCCTGCGTTGGCCAAGAGCCTCTTCGCCCGACACTTAAGGTCCAGAATGAGCAAGAGTGGCCACGGCTGTGCTGTCCTGAGGCTGACGTTCTGGGGGACGAGCTAATCAGACGCCGCGTCAGGTGGCGATGAGCAGTACGCACGAGGAGCGGGACAGCCAGGTGGCGCTTCGTGTCCAGCACGCATCACCACCGTTCTTGCCACAGCCCTGCAGGGCGGCTGCTCTCGGCACCGTCCTCGGCACTCAGACACCCCGCTTCTGCCGGGGTGCCGGCTGCTGCTTTGTCCCCCGTCACCTCCGGCCGGGCCCTGAGCGTCCAGCTGGACTCCCGGAAGGCTCTGGATTGCTTGGGGGCGTCTAACCCACTTCTTCTCCTGCAGTTTCATGAACAGGCGCGGCATCTCTGCCAACCCGTACCTGGGGAGCACCACCAACGGCTACGCGCACCCCAGCGGCACGGCGCTGCATTATGACGACGTCCCGTGCATTAACGGCTCGGTGAGTGCGCCCTTCTTACACCGTTCCGGGCTTGGGTGCGTTAGACGTGGGGCGGTGGGAGCCTGCCTGTAACCCGGGACCCCTGACTTCAGGCCGGGAGCCCGAGGGCTTTCTGCCATGCTCTGGGGCAGGATGAAACCTGCACGCCCTCCCTCCTGCACTTGGTTTTGACCAGTTGTTCATCTGCATCTGCACAAGTAGGGAACCAGACGCCAGGACCCTGACTGTCATTCAGCGTCCTGGTCATCACCTAGGTATCTCTGCATGGCCCAAAATACGAGTGAAGGATAGCACATTAGGGTCTGTAACTTGGACACATCCAAAGAGAGCACAGAGAGGTTATCGCCCAGCAGTTAGTGCTTGGAGAAGAGCTCAGAGAACTCACATCACAAAGGGAGTGTTGCCACGGCCAAGGCCGTACTGCACGCTCCCCGGGCCAGGCCCCATGCCATCCCTGGGCCACCAGGCGTGAGGCCCACCAAGTCTGCAGGCTCGTGGAGAGGCTCTTGAGAAACCAGCCTACCATTGGTCCCCTGGTATTGGGTGGCTTTAAAGTGGGCATCTGTCAAGATCTGTTTCAAAGGTTGGCATAGGATATGTTGATTGTTGTTTTTTTCCAAACTTGAAAAGTATGTTAGATTTTTTTCTTGCTGTTTTGCTCACCCATTCTTTTCTCAGTACTTTGAGGGATGTCCCCAATCAGCTCTCTGTTTCCCATGGTCATAAAATCCACACCTGCCCGAGGCAGGAACCGGGAGACCACAGACTTCTCGAAGGAAGTGTGGGGGTCAAGCAAGGACTCCCCGGGCTCAGAAATAGAAGCAGGCTGAAAAGAAGGTTTCTGTGATCTGGGTCAGAGGTAGCCAGCCAGTTACCACGCGCTGTATGTCATGTGTCCTCAGGGTTCTGGACATCTTGTCGTGGGTGTTCTTCCTTCTACCCTCTTGGGCCTGCCCTGGGGTTCCTGCAGGGATTTGTCTGCAGGCTCCGTACTGGATTGCAGAAGGGGGTTTCTCCTCATCACACAGCCCCTCCTCCCTGCCTGCCCATCCTCTCCCTCCTTCCCGACTTTCTGCACGTCCCCTAACACCTGGGCTCTGGACTAGGGATGATGGCCTTCCAGTCCAGCAGGGCTGCAAGTGGGGGGCGGGTAGGGGCGGAGGGGAGGAAGAGCAGAGCGGAGACCAGGCCTGGCAGGCTCACATGAACATTAGGGCCCGTGCTAGGACGTGGGTGAGGGGTCGGAGCAGAGCCACTGCGCAACCCCACCCTGGCCACAAGTCCCTCAGATGGTTTCCTGTCTGAGGCTGGGGTGACCGGGGCTGGGGTGGGGGATGAGTCCTGCCCCAGTGAGAAAACATGAGCTCCTGGCCCCTATCCCCACCGCCACCGGGGTCTCCAGAGTTTGAAGGGCTCCTGGTGGCCACCGTAGCCCCAGCCCTCCTCCCCTGAGCCCACCCACTTAGGGAAGGCCGCATGGTGACCTCTGTGAGAGCAGGATCTCGAGCGGTCTCTGTGCATCTTCCTGGGCACGAGCCACGTCCAGGGTGGTCCCTGGCTGCCCTGGCTTCCGTTGGTTCTGGGCAACCACAGTTCCTCTTGAGCAGCTGTTGCCCTCGGTGTAGGCCCGGCCACCAAACTCATTCTTGCGGAGCGCTCTGCTGCTCTGGGCCCTCGGCCTCTGCCACCAGCTGTGCTGGACAGACAACACACAAACCTGTCTCTGGCCCTTCCTGCCCGAAGGCCCCTTCGTGCCCCTTTTCCTGAAAGAATTTTCTCCCTTCTTCCTTAACCTTCGACACGGAAGCCACAGGGCAGGCTGAGCACCTGGACAAGCCCCAGGCCCACACGAGCACTACTCCACCCACCCACCCGTGCCCTAGGTTTGGGTCACGCGGGTTCAGGCCATCCCCAGGAATGAGCTTTCTTTAGCACACCCACAGCGTCCTCTGTCTCAGAGATAACCGCCCCCCATCCTGGAAGGCCTTTGCATTTAGCGATTGTTAGCGATTGTTTCTGTGCATGGATGGTGGTGTCGAAAACGCCAGGTCCTGGACACAGTGTCTGTGGCTCGCTGGCTTAGTGAGGGCTTCTCTGAAGCTCAGGCCTGTCTTCCTACTGTGCCCCAGCACACCGGGCTCCATTACCAGGCAGTCCCTCCTTTGCAAGGCCTCCTTTCTCGGTGTTACGAAGTTCCTACTTTCTGAGCCCAAACCTGACATTTCAGCAGTGTATCGACTTCAGTCATCCTTGCCCCCAGCTTCCCCCTGATGCCAGCACCAGATCGAAGTGAGTCTCCAAAAGGATCTCCTGCCATGCTTTTAATCAAGAAACCTCTGTGGAGTCTCTGTTTTCTAAGTGTTCCATGTGACTTGATCCTCTGGTTTTGGGGAGGGGATTGTCCATCTAGAGCATTGAAATCACCCTGGACAACCATGTGAGGGTCATCCTCATGGGGCTGTCCCGTCCGGGCTTGTGCGTGTGGGCCGCTGTGTTTAGATGGTAGGAGGGTCCCCATGTCACAAAAATAGACACCTCTAAGGGGATGCAAAGGGACAGAAGTGCTCCTCCCGTGAGATTTCAGACTGTTCCTATTTTTGTAACAAAAGGCTGTAATTACAGTCTGGCAGAAGGAGACGCGGCCGGAAGGATATAAAAATAGGATAAAATAAGCATAACATAGAAATTAATATTTCTATCTTTTTTTGTAAATGCAAAGCAATTTATAAAGACCTTTAAAATAGAAAGGGCTCTGGCTGTGGTTGTGACTTTAGGTTTTCATTTACGCTTTAAAGTCCATGCTCCAAAGTGGCCTGTAGCTATTCTAGTCCTTTGTAAAAAGGTTTCCTGCTAAGACAACGCCATTATATCAATTATATGCCGAAACATCCTCTTTTCTATGATGATTGCATTTCTTTCTTTCAACCGACTGTGTTTGGGTTGCTGCATTTTCTTCAGGCATCAGAGCGTGGCCCCTGGGTGCAGGCTGATAGTCACCCATGCCACCCAAGTCCCCGATGCCTGCGTGACGGACGGGGAGGCTCAGGAGGTGCTTTCTCCCCTGGGGGAGCCTGCAGCTGGGAGGCAACGCACTGTGGGGTTAGGAGCCCCGCTCTGCTTCAGCTTCCCCATGCCTCTTGAGGTTCCCATGGGAATTATACGGGTCTACAACTGTGAAGCGCCTCAAACAATGTCCAGGGTGTAGTCACAACTATAAACGAAGTGCTTTGCTGGGATGGCAAGGTGCTTTCTGGGGACAGCCAGAGCTCTGGGTTTCGGGGGCCCCCGGGCTGGCAGGCCTCTTCTTATGTCATGTGGCTTCTGCTCTCTGGATTAGGACTTCCAAACTCTGGTACCTTAAGGAAAGAAATGTCAAATCAGTTTATTTTTTTTTTCCTCTGCCTTAAAAATAAAGTGGAACAAAACAAAAATTTCCTAAGCCAGTTACCCTGGGAATGATTTAAGGAAAAAAGAAAGCTTTGCTGAAGTCTCTCCAAGTAGAACCGTTGTCCACCTACTTGTTGTGTGTGTGTATTTGTGTGTGTTTTATCAGTACCAGTGTGGGGTACGTGCACGTGTTTTGGGGGTACTAATAATGTCTCAATATGCTAAAATCTCTGCTCTGCTTTCTGTGGCCATGAGCACTAACGACGAAGCTGTGTGTTGCAGTGGGACCCCGAAGACCGCCCTCCTGCTTCCTGTGCCAGGGGCCTGGGAGAAGAGGTGCTTTATGATCACGCGGTCCTGTACGATAACTTGCCGTCTCCGAAAATCTTTGCGCGCTACCCGCCTGCTGACAGAAAGGCTTCTAGGCTGTCTCCGGACAAACTGTCCTGTAACCATTACAAATACCCTCCCTCCTGCAGTCTGCCTCCCACTAACCCCTCTTCTCTGGGGAGGGCGCCTCTCGGGCTCAGCTCTCAGGTACAGCATCTCCTTCCGTCCTGTTCTAGAATTGTCGGAATCACGGTCCTCCCATAGGGGGTAGTCACCAGCCCATAGCAGACGAGACTCATCAAGGGTGCGGTGGGATTTTTGCCTCAACCAGAATAGAATTTGCAAATGCAATCAGCGTTGGGCTACCCAGGAGCTTATGAAGCTCCCCTAACTAGTTCGTGGCTGAAGCTCTGTCTTTCTTGGCCTAAATCTGGCTCTCTTTCTATTCTTGGAAGATTCCCCAGTGAATTTGGTGCGTTACGTTGACTAAAGCCAAAGATTTAAAAAAAAAAAAAAGGACAGGGACAATAAAACTTTCCATAAGATTCTTGCACCGCAAGCTTTTTTAATGTTTCTGTCACAGGTACGCGAGCAACGCTGGACTCCAGGTAGTAATTGCTTGCGATCTTCACACGTTAAGCAGGATTTTCAGGGTAGTACAGGGTTTTTCTGTAACGAGTCTGAAAGTGGAATGCCTAAAACCGAGTACACGGGAATGAGGATTTTGGATTATGATTGAATGATAAATAACCTTGGGGTTGAACTGCCATCTGCTCCGTACCCCACAGTTACGGTGAACAATGACGTTTCAGTGTAAATGCTAATCTTGTGTGTTCACGCAGTTTCCACTGAAGAACGTTGTGTGCTTGGCACACAAATCCAAGCGCCACAGCATGAGAATACTCTGCAAACATAAAGCAGATGGGTACACTTTAAATTATACTCTTTTCCCTCCATTTCTTGGGTAATTTTAGGAAACACCGAGTGCCTGGTAGGTTCCTAGCGTTTCACATAGTGGTGGCTTACGGCAGCTCCCCCCAACGCATGGACTCCCCCCAACCCATGGACTCCATCAGACCACAGCACAGGATTTGTTTCTCATTTTTAACCACAGCTGCTCAGATCTCTGAAGATTCACTAAGTGAACACGTATCTGTCTACATACTTACTTTTTTGTCGGCATTAAGGTTCTCTTAGGTAGAAATCATGGAACGAAATATGCCACCTCATGCTTGGATTGTCCCCAGATTAGTTTGGAATGATCCGATATGTTGTTTCTATGTGCTTGTTTTTATTCATTTTTACTATTTTAAGTAGGAACACATTTGTAAGGTGAGTCATTGTACCTTTAGTTTTCCTGTGCTCATTTGGTCATTCTGATAGGGCACCTGTTGTTTAATGGAGACACCTTCCAAATATTGAGCACCTACAGTATGCCACACCTGTCTGGCGTGTCACCTGACCTTTTTAGGAATGCTCTGGGGAGGATTCAGTATCTTTATTTATTTATTTGTTTCTTTAATGAGCAAATGGAAGCTCAGAAAGTTTTAAGGACTTGCTCAGCATGTCCCAACTCACAGAGCCAGAATCTGAATGCAGGTCTGGCTCCCCAGAGCGAGGCCCACAGCAACAGCAGCCATCAACATTTGCCACCAAGCCCGATTGATGGCATAGGGCTATAGGGTACAGACGTATCACTTAAGCAAAACACAGCATTTGTCGGCTTGCCGCAAAGGGGCAGACGTGCTATTGCATGTGTTTTAAGAACCTGTGGGTACTTCAAACCCCATTCGTACTGGTCCTGTGTTCTCCCCTTGCTTCCATCCTCTGACCCGTCAGGGAATCAGAAGGTAGTCATCTGTCCCGTGAGGACATCAGTCAGCTGCAGAGCTGCTCAGCCATGCCGCTCCCCTAAGGAGCATCCTCTGGAAAGAAAAGCTGTTCATTTTTAGAAACACAGACTTTTACTAATCTCAACCAAATGCTCTTGGATACCCAACTGTCTGTGCCAATTTCTTGGTGAGCATTTATGATCTCCCAATGGAAATCTATGTAACTTTTATTGCATCCCAACTGGAGACGTCCAAGTTCCACCTACCTTGGACCTCAGTGCTAGACCCCGCCTAGCCCGCACCGGAAAACCACGGCAGCTCAGTGTTTGGAAACCAGCCTGGTTTCCTCCTCCCTTCATTTTTTCTATGTGTGCTAGGTTATGTGAAAGACTTAGGGACTGAGACAATTTACTGAAAAAAAGAAAGGGTTTTTTTTTTTATTATTATTGTTTGGTTTTTAATTTTCTTACGTGTTTATTTCAACAGTTGAAGGGTAAAAAGCCCCCAGTAGCCTCCAATGGGGTTCCGGGAAAAGGAAAGACTCTGAGCGGCCAGCAAAAAAAGGTGGATTCGGCAGCCGGCGTGAAGCGAACATCTTCAAGTAAGTTTATCGTTCAGCTTCTTGGCTCTAGTTTCAGGCGTGGTTTGCAGCGGTGAGGCCGTCAGAGGGGACTCTTCATCGTCACCCTCCCTCCTTGCCGGATTGAAGAAGGGTGACGGTTTTTAACCCAGCTTTTATGGCCATTGTATAAAGCTGCCTGTTAGTGTAGAAGTGGCTACACGTGCTTAAGGAGGAGGCGGTCGTGGGTGCAGGGGGCCAGGGGCTTCGGGTCAGGAGACCTCGGCTCGTGTCCCTGATCTGTTGGTGACTTAGTGACTTCTGTTGAGCCGTGTAAACGCTCTAAGCTCAGCTCCCTGTGTGGGAGGTGTAGCCAAGTGGCCGCTGTGGTTTCTGGGGCTGGAGGAATTGAGGCGCCACATGGGCCTCCAAGCACAAGAGTAGCATAAGGGTCGATAAGGGGCGCGCGTTCCTGCCGCGCCTTGCGGTCTGCGAGCTGATATGGACAGGCTCCCGTTCCTTCTCCAGCCGCATGAGCAGGCAGGTGTTACCCCTGCCCCATTGTGCAAGGGCAGAAATCCTCTCTGAGAGACCCAGGTACACCGCCCCCCCCGCGCCTCACAGCTGGCCGGTGACAGAACCGGAGGCACGACCCGGCTTCACGCCCCGAATCCGGCAGGGGGCTGGGCAGAGAAGCAGCAAGACGCCAGTGAGGGGCTCGGCCCGCCCGAGTGAGCACCCGGTGCCCTTCCTGCCCTGCAGATGGGTTCATGTTAGGTGACAGCCCTGCGCGCGCAGGCGTGTTCGCTTCAGCCCCGGGGGTGGCGGGCGCCCGTGGGTTCGGCCGGCCAGGCAGCACGTATCCCGCGTGAGGCCCTCTGCTTGCCGCTCGGGCTGCGCAGGCCGGGCGGGCTGATGGCGTCAAGCTGCTTTAGGCTCGCGGGGAAGGCAGATCCGCAGGCCTTTATAAGGTTCGGGAGCTCCTAAGTGGGTTGGGAGGAGGATGTGAGTTAGACTCCAGTGATGGGTTTGATAGGATCACTGGGGAAGTCGTGTCTACACTTCCTGAATCTGGCAGCATGTCGCCGGTAGACCAGTCTCCGTGTCAGTGAAAATGAGGCCGGCCAGCTGGCTGCAGTCAGTCACCCCTCCTTGACTTACTGACCCGCTGGTGCCGTCATGGGCGTTCAGTTTGAGAGCACACAGGGGTGGAAGAGGCCGGCCTTTTCCTTGGCCACATGCACGGGCGAGCCTTGGACCTCCGCCCCGAGGGAACCTGTATTCCGTCCAGGCACTTGTCTACACGTCCCTCGTCCTCAAACATGCATTTCAAGCTGATAGGTCGGGAGCCAGTTGGATCACTTACTTTGTGCTGAGTTACTTTGACCTTATCTTTCTGGCAAATCTTATTTCCCTGATGCAGTTGGGTATATTTATAGTCACTTAAAATTTTAGTGCCGTGCATTTGGGGAGGGGCAGGTGGGGGAAGGAAAGAGTTCATGCCCAAAAGCTCTGCTACGCAGAACCCGAAACTCACAGGATCTCTTCTCCGTAGCTTCTCTCCCAGTGCCTGTGCTCATTTCATTTCCTAGGTGATTTATTCCTTTATTTTATGAGACCTTCTGTAGGGAATCCTTATTAACTTCGGTGACATCTAATGGTGACAAAAGAGAAAAATAATTGCATTCTGTGTCTTTGCTGAATTCAGCCAGTTGCATCGTAGACTGGATGGGCTTGACTGCATGGGGACCAAAAGATGTGGATATTTATAGGTTATTACATACAGGTTTATTGGGAAAGCATCTCCGATCAGAAAGAAGTGCACAGGTTTTGGACTTCCTCTATGGAACATACCCGTACCCTGGCCGCTAATAGCAGTGCTTTTGTTTCAGATTGCTCCTTTTGTTACCCCCACGCTGGGATCCTTTTAACATCATGCTCTGTGTGTGCATTTTCTGTTTGTTTTTAGTGAGGGGAGGTGCACTGGGGACAGAAGATTTTGCACCTGCCTTCATAAACACAGAGTTGCATCGCCATCGTGACGGTTTGCGCTGTGGGATTCGGTGACTTCAGCATCTAGGACGGGTGCTGGAAGTGGCTGGCCGTGGACAGGGCTCTGGGGACTCAGCTGTCCCTGACAGTGATTAGAGCTGTCAGGGACGGTCCATCCTGCCCCAGGCATCACATGGTTTCGTGAGATGGGTTTTAGGTACAAATAGCACGTTTCTTTAAACCTCAAGGTAGGCCTTCCCACTTCTGCTTTATAGAGGGTGAAGCTGAGGCTCAGGGAGATTAGCTGCCGGCCCAGAGCCACAGCTGCCCCCCTGGCCCACGCCTCCACTGGGAACCGTCACCCCACGCTCCTGCCCAGAAGTCTCTGCACGTCCAGTGGGGCAGCACACGTGCAGGCCAGCGACAGTGGTGTTGTGCGGTGTGCTGTGGGGCGTGAAGCCATGCGGGAGGGGGGCGGTGCATGACTCGCAAGAGGCCCCCGGGGGGTAACCAGGTGCAGGAGGCAGTGGAAGCTCCGAAATCGGTGGGCCTCCATCATGCCTGTGACGTCTTCATCTCTTCAAGGTCTTTTTCCAGAGACGGTCCTTCTAACTTAGTATTATCAAGAGGCCAACATAATTAGAGGAGAGGAGCTTGGGGTGGGGATTTTAAGGTGACATCAATTAGTGGTGTGACACTGGCCGAATCTCAGAGGGGTTTCCTGGGGAATGGTTTCCTCTTCACTCATTCCTTTCATTTAATGAGCAGCGGTGGCGTCCCCATCTTGTGCTTGTTCCGAGTGCTTTGTAAACACTAAGGTGACCCTGGTTACAGCCCTGAGAATGACCACGTCACAGATGAGGGAACTGAGGCACAGAGAGGCGAGGGGCCTTGCTGCGGGTCCCGCGGCCGACACGGCAAGCTGGGGCTGGGCCCGGACGCCGCCCTGCGCGGACTCCCCGAGCTCTCCGTTCCACCTGCTCACTCAGTGCGTGCCCGCGCGCTTGCTGCAGGCGGGCACCGGCCGCGGCGCAGGGGACAGAGCAGAGCTGCCGTCGGGTCGGCCAGAGCCAGACTGCGGGGGTGCCGGGCTCCGGGGTGGCCGTGTTACCGAAGCGTTCTGAAAAATAACAGAGAAAGAGGCGACCCTCGATGTTGATGATAGGGTACTCATCCCAGCCCCACTGCCTCAAAGGACAGGGAGTTAAAGGGACGTCCTCATAGTCTGGTCTCGTTTTCTTAACTGCACTAGGAAATTTGTACTCCCCTTTCTACTCTGTTCAGACTGGTCCCATTCTTTTTCTTACTGAACTAGCAAAATAACCAGATTAGAGTTTCTTTCTCTGCATTGGCTGATTTTAAACAGGCTTTATGAATTACACTGTTATGTGGTTAAACCTAATTTTCTTTTGCTGCTTTTCTCCCCCCTAAGATGCTGACCAGTACAAATATGGCAAGAACCGGGTCGAAGCCGATGCCAAGCGGTTGCAGAGTAAAGAAGAGGAGCTGCTAAAGCGGAAGGAGACGCTGAGGAACAGGCTGGCCCAGCTCCGGAAAGAGAGGAGAGACCTGCGAGCCGCCATCGAAGTGAACGCTGGTACGGGGGCTGGGGGTGGGGGTGCGCTTCCAGCTGGCATGGGCACCTCCTTGGGTTAGCGCCTCGGTTTCCTCCCGTTCTGCCCACGGGCTCTCACTATAGTAAGACCGCATCTCCCCGTGTGGTGCTGCTTATCATTTGGAAGCACTGTGGGTAAGCCCGGGGCAGGGGCCGCAGTTGGGGGACCGTGGAACGGACGAGGAGGCCGGACCGCCCCTCAGCCTGCTTGCTGCTCGTGGAGGCTGGCAGTGCTGGGAGCCGTCCCAGCCTCTGGTGTCAGCGCAGAGACGCTCAGGAGTTTCAGGTCATGTGTCTGATGAAGCAGCTGGGGGGCTTGTTGGCAGGAGGACAGTCCACAGGGACAGTAAGATTCAGGAGCCCGGGTAAGAGGTCTCTGCAGGGCAGAAGGAGCCCTCCGAGCCCCGAGAAGGGACAGTGTCTGAATTCTTGGAAGGGAGCGGGGAAATAGGCCAGGTTAGCAGAGACATTCTCAAAGGGGAAGTCAGACCGAAGGCAGCTGTCGGAGAACCGAGTCGGGACCAGAGGGGTGTCTGTGGCTCAGGCTTGTTTGTTCCTGCCGGCAGGAGCTGGGGATGTGGTTCCTGGTTCAGGGGCTCAGCTCCAAACTGGCTCTTACCCTGGGCAAGACCCACGCTTCAGGCTTGGATTAGGCGGGACTCAGAGGGGCGCAGAGGGCCGGGAAGGAGGAGTCCGTGCACCCGCCCCCAGAACAGTCCGTCAGCGCTTTGGTCCTTCCAGACTTTGCACCTCAGTGACTTTTATGACAAGAAGTGCTTTTGGAGTTTAAAGTCTGGGAGGTTAGGTATAGGCTGAGTGGGTGGGAGATAACCTGTGGGAGGGACGGGACGTGGCGTCCAACCACCTGCAGGGGGACCAAAGGCCGAGTTAGAGACCCTGGGAAGAGCTTCCAGGCCAACAAGACAGAAGGAGGGTTTCTTCCTTCTTCTGTTTCAAGTTTGCAGGATAGTGAAGATGCAGAGAGGTTAGAGCAGCTCCCGTGCCGTGAGCATTAGAGGCCAGGGCCACACACAGAAGTCAGGCGACCCCTTGGAATCCGTCTTCCTGCATGCGCAGTGGGTACGTGACCTGCTTCCTTGCGTCACTGAAACACACTTCAAATAAAAGGAATACAGTGAGCGTGCTGTGGAGCCCTGCAGGTGCGAGCTTTATTGTAGGCGACTCTACGGGCAGGAGAGAGAGAGAGGACTCAGGAACAGCGGGTGGGAACAGCAGAACAGGAGAATAGCCAGACTTTTCAAGTCCCCAGCGCCTCTGCAGGCCATCTGGTTAGAGGCCATGTGTTCAGGTGAGGGCACGGAGGTCCGGGCCTAGAATCCTGGGATTGGTGAGAATCGAGGGCTCTGGCTTCCAGGTCAAGTCTTCCAGCTGTGGGAGAGCGGAGTGGTCAGGAAGGGCCTCGGCTCTTGTAAAGAACAGCTGAACTTGAGTTTTGTAGAAAGGGCCCAGGTCAGGGCCGCTCAAGCCAGAGAGTTCCGCAGGGGTCCTGTGAGGGGGCCCAGCGTGTGTCCTCCATCCTGAGACCCTCACCCACGGCTGCAGCGACAGTGTGTCTGTGGGGTTTCAGGCAGGAAGACCCAGGTGGTTCTGGAAGACAAGCTGAAGAGGCTGGAGGAGGAGTGTAAGCAGAAGGAGGCGGAGCGCGTCAACCTAGAGCTCGAGCTGACGGAGGTCACGGAGAGCCTGAAGAAGGCCCTGGCCGGCGGGGTCACCCTGGGGCTGGCCATCGAGCCCAGGTCGGGGACGTCGAGCCCGCAGGTACGGTCTGCTCCCGCCCAGCAAACACCCAGCCACGTCGGCCTCGGATGTGCTCTCGGCTGTGTTCCGAGCGGCCAACGCCGCGTTTGCTTCTCTCCGTGCGGCGATGGCGGGCACATGAGCCCGTTGCCCTTCCCTCCTCCGATCCACTGATCAGAGGCACAGCTCCTCTTAGCCCTTTTGAAACATGTCCTGATTCGATTCCATTTCATTAGCTGGAGACCTTAATCCAATGTAGCCGATTTTATTGAGACGTGCAGCATGTCCTGGGAACGCTGCCAGGGGCCGGGAAACACAGGCAGGAAACACGGCCTCCCCCTCGGATCTCAAGGAACAAGGGGGAATCACTCTCCAGCACAAATTACCACCTGCAGGGACTTACCCTTCACTCTCGTTGGACTAACCGTCACTGAGAAGTCACTGCTGTCCCTTGCTCGTGACAATGCCATCATGGTCCCTGGGGCCTGGGGAGTCACATGTCACCACTTCCATCTTACAAACCCGGAGGCAGAGGCCCAGAGAAGTGATGGGAAGCTGCCTAAGCACAGCAGCCAGCCAGGCAGCCCTGGACGCAGGCTCGGTCTCAGGGGACCCCGCGGCCCTCTCCCCCCACCTCCCTGAAATCCCGCCACCCGCCTTACACCTGTCCCTCTCAGGAACTCCAACCCCCGTCCCTCTCCACTGGCCACCCCTCGACGTTGAGGAGTCGGCCGTCGCCTGGCAGAGCTGGATCTAGCAGCAAGAACCAGACCCTGGAACACAAGCCACAGCCTGTAGGAAAAGCAGGCTCGGGGGTCGGATAGGCAGGGTTTGGGGTCACCTCCCTTCCCGAGGCCTCTGCAAAATGGGGATAATGACATTACTGCATCTGTAACAGCTCCTGGCACAGTGTCTGGCTGAAGACAGTGTGGGTTCATCATACATGTATTTGTTAGCTCGTGTATTCATTCGTTCATCCAACAACTTATGCATACATACCCAGGCCGGGCACCCGCGGGGTGCCGGGCACTCTCCCGGGCTCAGGGCACCCCTGTGGAGCCTGTGTTCCGGCAAGGGAGGAGGCTGCAGGTTACGTGTGCGTCCACGTGGATTCCCGCTATGAGATCAAGGTGCAGGGTGGGTGGGTGTGTCGGGAGCCGGCATGCAAGGGCTGCCCCCCTCCCCCGGCGTCTCCGCATCCTGCTTGAACAGGACTGGGCACAGTGAGGTCCGCTGTAACCGGAGGTGGGGGTTGTGCTGGAGGTACATGGGCTTGTGGACCCCACGGACCCTGGCCTCCTGCGAGGGTGGCCACACCACCCCCTGGGGTTCTCTCCTGCCATCCCAGGCTCTCCTCCCCACTCTTTTCCTTCTGAGTCCTTACCCATTCTTTGGACTCTGGCCCCGCCCCCAACCCCTGGCAGCCACCCTCCTACCTTCCACCCCTGCCCTTCCGAATTAATCTTTTGGAAACAGTTGTCAGTTCCCACAGCGTCCTGTTCACCTGCTCTCTCCTCCACTTGCTGAACCGTCTTTCCCTAAGGTCACCTCCAAACTACAAATCCCCTACCTCACCCCTGTCTCCGATTTCAGGCATCTCTCCAAGCTAGCTACTTTCTTCACCTGGTGACCCCACATCCCCCCGGGGATCCCCTCTCTCTAGTGTTGACCCCGCATCCCCCCCGGGGGTCCCCTCTCTCTAGGGTGACCCACATCCTCCTGGGGGTCCCCCTTTCTAGTGATGACCCCACATCCCCTCGGGGATCCCCTCTTTCCAGTGGTGACTCCGTATCCCCCGAGGTCCCCATCTTGGCTCCCACTTGTCAGGTCTTCTCTCTTTTGGCCCAAATAGCCAAGCTTGCCCTTCTGAAGGCTTAGGACGGGTCTATTTGAGCCTCCCCACCCAGACCACGGGGCCTGGCGGCTTCCTCTCGTGGGAGGGCCCTCCTGGGACTTGCACTGCCCTCATCTTCCCTGGGACGGGCAGCGCCCCACACTTCCCGCCTAGTCCTCATCCCCGGAACACGGCTCATCGGACGCACTGCCTTGCGGACCCAGCGCGGCCTCTGCCAGAGAGGGAGATGAGGTCTCTCCTTCCTGCCAGCCGCTCCGCCCCCGACACCCTCCCAGCCAGCTCCCTCCCAGAAGCATTCCCAGTAAACCAGAACATGGGTGAAGCTGGCTGCTTGGTGTTCAGGGTCAGCAGCCCCCGGTAGGGGCCCTAAGTGACCCACTGTTGTGTTCTGCTCAACGACGTGCCGTACAACCCAACCCGCGTCTCCGGGTCACACGCTGTGCAGCAGTGACAGCAAGTGTGGTCCCGGGGCTCATCGGGCGGCCCTGCTCACTGCCAGTGCACTTGCCTGTGCAGGAGCCTGCACCTTCGGGGGGGGGGGGCTTTTTGCTCCATTTCAAGTCTTCAGAAAATGTCTTTCTTTGGCCTCCGGACCTACATGGGCTGCAGATGGCTGGGCGCCTCAGGATCGTCGGGCTGGGGCCACACTGCCGCGGGCCACGGGCCCAGGGACTTGTGCTGCCCAGTGGTCGAGGGCGGCTGCAGACGTAGAGCTCTTTGCAGGCACAAAGCTGGGTGCAGAGGGTGCAAGGGGACAGGGCGGGGCCTCCTGCCCACCTCCCAGCACCACCAGCTGTCCCGTCTGTCACCGACGAGTAGAAGGTGCTCCCAGAACCTGTGCTGACCACGTGGGGTGATTATTATTACCGTTCTTGCCTGTTCCCCAAACCTGTATGTTTTCTTTAAAATGAGCAGTTGTCCCGTTGGGACATGCCGCGGGCCTGGGGACCACACCTCACACGGGGTCTTCTCTCTGCATCGACAGTCTCCAGTTTTTAGGCATCGGACTCTGGAGAGCTCACCCATGTCCAGCTGCGAGACCAGTGATGCCGAGGGCCCGGTGCCGGTGAACAGCGCGGCCGTGCTGAGGAAGAGCCAGCCGGCGGGCGGCTCCCCCTGCCGGGGGCATGTGCTGCGGAAGGCCAAGGTGAGCTCACTCTCCCGCGGTGGGGACACCTGCCCTGAGGCGTGCTGGCCGCTGTGGGAGGGACAGGGGAGATGCCGTGTGCTGTCTCCCAAATCCCCACAGTCCCAGCCTCTTTCAGGGGGCCTCCTTTTCAAAGGGGAGAAGCCCAGAACGTCACGGCAAGGCGCTTACCAGGCGGTGTCAGCAGAAGCAGCAGCTCTGGGCGCACCTGGGTTTTCCTTGCTGGACTGGGGTTCTTCACAGAGAGTCCAGGCCTAGACTCTCCTCCAGCCCACGCCGCCCCCCGCCTTGTCAGTGGTGTTGGAGGCGCGTGATGAACCCCCCAGGCCCCCTGTGGTCTCCAGGCTCCACATGGGATCGGCCTTGACAAGCTTTGATGCAGAACTTAAAGCTCTCCGAAAACTTAAAAACCATTTATAGGTTATCAAAGCAAACACTTCTTGACAGTAGTAACTGCAAGTGTGTCATACAGAAAAATCATATTTTGGAAAAATTACATTAATTCATCAAGATGAATTTTTTTTTAAAGATTTTATTGATTTATTTGACAGAGAGACACAGTGAGAGAGGGAACACGAGCAGGGGGAGAGGGAGAGGGAGAAGCAGGCTTCCCGCCGAGCAGGGAGCCCGATGCGGGGCTCGATCCCAGGACCCTGGGATCATGACCTGAGCCGAAGGCAGACGCTTAATGACTGAGCCACCCAGGTGCCCCTCATCAGATGAATTTAATTTGCTCTGATGGGTATATGGAGGCGGGCGGCCTCCCTCCACCGCCTCTGGGCCCTGCATTGCTGTCGTTACCTTTGTTCCTGGAGCGCTTCAGAACCGGGTCCAAACTGGCTAGCAGTCTGTGATTTTCACAGAGGCGGCCTGTGTCAGGGAGGATGGCGTGCTCTCGGGGCGGCCCTGGCGGCCGTGGCTGCAGACGCGTCCGAGACCTCGTGTCCTCCCTGGCAAGCGCTTGAAGCCCGCGTGTATTGCCAAGTCTGGGGAAGGAAGGGCTGCCGCCTATTTCTGTTCCTTCTCTTAGCAGGCGTGGGGCATTCTGGGTCTGTACCTGTTAGCACACATGCGGGGGGCGCGTATTGCCTGAGGGAGTCTTGGGATGGAGCTGGCCAGTGCAGTCCCCCTGACTGTTTGCAGATGAGAAGTGCAGGAAAAGCGTCTCATCTACTTGGTCTCTTTCCTGCCAAGTGAGACCTACGGTTCAGCTGCTGCAGCCCCTGCCCCAGCTGTGTGTCCCGCGGGTGCTCGGCGGCCACCGGCTTGGGGACTGCAGCTCCTGCCACTTCTCTGTGATAAACGCGGGGTGTGGGGTCTTGGCAGGTTCATGCACGGCGATACCGAGGCCGGCCACACTCACAGAGGGACCTAGCTGTCCCTGCTCGCGGGTCCAGGAACTGTGCCCACAGCCTCAGGAAGGGACTCCTGAGAACAGTGACAGGGGGCTCGCGGCTGGGGGCAGGGGTGGGGCTTGGCCTCTCGGCTCTGGAACAAGGGTCCCCTCGTTGATCTAATTCCCGGCTCAAATGGTGATTCCGAAACTTCTGAGCGGCCACCATACCGGTTTGCACACTGTCCACAGGCGCAGCCCTGTCTCCTGGCGCCTTGCCGCGTTGACCCATGCCTTTCCTCTTGCCACGTTTAGGAATGGGAGCTGAAGAACGGGACGTAGAGGGACGGCAGGACGCCCTGCTCGCTGGCGCTGCCGCCGCAGGAAGCTCCGTCCGCGTGGCCACCGTGCAGGACACCAGGGTTTGTGACTGAGCCCCGACGCCACCAGCGCCCAGACCCGCCCGCGCGTCTTCTTGCTACTGTACTTGTCCCTCTAAAGAAATTCACTTGTAACACTTGGGTTTCCACCTCTCTCTGTTGAGGAGCAGGAAGGGAGGTAGAGGAGTCCTTTGGCAGATGAGAAGCTGCATCTTTTTACCGAGCTCAGTGCGTGCTTTCCCCAGTGTCTCCCGGACTGCAGGTGACCGGCCCGTGCCCCCCGCTGAGGCCCCTCGCAGGCCCCGGGGCCCCCCTGCCCGTCTGCAGAGAGGGCCGGGGTCCCGAGCGGCTCGTCCTCCGCGTGTCTCGGCGCCCCCCCCACGTGTCCACCCCCACGTCACCAGAGGCAGGTGCACGAGAAACCCGAGCTGTGAAGCATCTGGTACCTTTTAACTGTCTCTTCTCTGGACAAATGCTTTTGTCACCATGACGTGAAAAGCTGCCATTCTTTTTACACTTTTTAAAAACTTCTCTTTTTAGCGTGTGTTGCACTTAGCTCTAAGGGTTTTTCAGAGATTCTGTATCATATTTTATTATTTGTACTGCTTTTGAAAGGCAGCAGAGTATTTCTGCTGCTTCACTAGTGTGTGTCCCCATCTCCCCTTTCCCCAGCGTCCCCGACCCCGTCTGCCCCGCAGAGCCTGCAGGTGACCCGCGGAGCATGGGCGGCCTCACCAGATGACGGTGGGACTTCCATTCACAGGATGGGCCCATCCCCAGAGAGGGATGCAGGTTCTGGAAGTTACTTGGCCATAGAACCGTAGCATCCTGAGCAGGACGAGAGCTTCCAGTCCCTCCCCGGGCCCCCGGCCCCCGCCTGCAAACCCAGGCCCGGAGCACGGGTGCCCCAGGGCTGCTCTCAGGCCAGCGGGCCAAGGCCGGGTCTCTGCACCCCAACTCTGCTGGGCCTCCAGAGGGACCCTCTCAGGGATTCTCGGCTATGGGGAGATGCAACCCCGGATGACATGAGAGTCGGTCACACCAGGATCCTTCTGCAGACGGATTCGGGGGCACAAGTCACACACGTGGGGGGCGCTTCCTGCTGAGATGCAGGAGCCTAGTGGTGTGAGCCTTTCATCTAGAAGCTTCCCTACCAGCTGTAGGGATAGAAGGCAAGAAACGGTCTCCGTGCTTTCCCCCGGCATGCCTCCGGAGTCCCTCCTGGGCCCGGCCCCTCTCCTGCAGGCCTTCCTTAGGCGTGGAGTCAACCAGCGTCAGTCAGGGCCCTCGGGCCCCACGTGGCAGCGTGCGATTTTGGCTGTAGAGCGGGCGAGCAGCCTCCCGCGCAGGGGACAGTTTCCAGCAGGGAGCGGGGGCTGGAGCAGACCCCAGCAGAGACGCGGGCCGCCCTCCCATCCTAGCACCCCCAGAGCCTCTGGGCCCATCTTCCCGGCGCTGTCAGGAGGAGCCCTGTCCAGTTGTCTGTCTGCGTGGGAAGCTCGGCCGCCTTGCATTCTACGAAGCTGTTTTTCTGTAAAAGGTAACGGTTTGATCCACTGTAGATTTTTGCTGCCTTCTGGTCCAATGAGGTTTCTCAGAGTGAGGCGCTTGGGTCACCCTGCTTGACAGCCAACTTGGCCCAAGCAGCTAGCAGGTTTCAACTGTTAGGAGGGAAAACGTGAGCGGCCCATACCCCTGACTGCGGCCCCACACAGCCGGGGAGACCCCAGGCAGCCTGGGGACCCTCACCCTGTGGGTTTGCAGGAGCCGGGATTTGAACCCTGGTCCTCAGACTCCTGGCGTACGTGTTCCGTGTCTAAAGGCCCCAGGTTTCACATTCGCTTTCCTCACCATCAGCCCTTGAAAGAGGGTCGCAAGCTTAGACAGATCCTGCTGGTTCCACCGAGCCGTTGGCAGCGGGTCGCATGGAGGGCGAGGCCACCACCCGGGGGCTCCCATGATGTTATGTGTTCCCCTCGGTGTCTTAGATTTGATCAGAAAGTTAGGTGAAAGGATTTGCTTCAAAATAAGTTATTTATTTGTATATGTTCAATAAATAGAGTTTTTAATTTATATCTGTACATATTAGACACACATGAGACGTCTTGTCAGGATTCGGGCAGCGATGTCATTTCATGGCCCCCCGAAGCTCCCTGCCCAGCAGCCATGGGAGGCTCGCCCCACGGGGCGGAGTCCCATTCCCTTCGAGGGGTCACCTGTTCGCCAAGCGCTGGCCAGACCATGACAGGATCCTGACCCAAAGTGGAGGAGCGTGGTGGCCGTGCCCAGGGGCCACAACTGCCCCACCACCAGCCCCGGGGCTCTGCCTCTGCTGTATTTTGGTCAGGTGTCATCAACCTTCAAATCCCCTACAGTTTTGTGTGTTGATAATGTTTTAAAGTCACTCACCAACCTTTTGCACAGAAACAAAATGGTGGTTATGGGCTCGCTGTGTCACCTGTGGCGTGGGACGGAGGGAGGCGGTCACTTTGCCCCTCCTCAGAGTCAGTAGGGGGTGGGGTAAGGCCCTCTGTGGGCATCAGACCAGCCAGCCCTGCCCTCGCCGGGCTTCCGGATGGTTCCACCTACTGGTAACCAGTGCGGGTCTGCGGAAGGGTCCAGGTGGGCGTGGATCTTTCCGGAGTCTTCTCTGGGTGACCGTGCACACGCCATGCCGTAAACCCATCCTGTCCCCCCCACCCCCGTTCGCACACCTCAGTGTTGCCAAACCTGATCGGCCTCCTCATTCACCTCAACCATCCGAGTTCCAAAAAACCCCAAACCACTCAGGTTGGAGATGTGCTGCCTTCTGCAAAGTGTGTGCGGGTTTGCACGGGGCCAGGCGCGAGTCCGGGGGCGGCCCGGGGGTCGCCGGCACGCTCTTGAGAGGGGCGTGGCCTCACAGCAGGCGGTGCTCTGGGTTTGCTCGCCCAGTCCTGTGACGGGCCCTCCCGAGGGTGGGCAGCGGGGTGGGTGCCTGGAGAGGGGCCCCTGGCGCCAGCAAAGACCCCTGCGGCCCAGCCCGCACTCCCCTTCCAGGAGGCCTCTCCCGGGCCGGCCGCAGTGTCCACCGCCCCCGGCTCGGCAAGTTGGCATCGCTCAGATGTTAAACTGTTGCCTTCCTCGTTTTGTTTTGTTTTGTTTTTTCTAAAATAATTTTTTACCGGGAAATTTTTCAAATCCGAGGCATCGTTTTAAAGAGAATCATTCTTACTCTTATTTTGTTGCTGTTGTCACTGCTGGCTCATGGCTAGGTTGATACTGTGAATACATGAAGGTAAACTGTACCCCGTGCCCCGCGGTGGGCGCAGCACCCCCCCCCGCGAGCGCCCCCTGCAGGCAGCTCGTCTCCCGCCAAGGCCCGGGGCTTCGCGGGCGGCCTCCCTCCCTCCCTCCCGCCGCCGGCAGGTGTCTCCAGGTGTTCCTGGGTGAGGCCGGGGTGTGGCCGGGGCAGGCCTTTCCGACATGGGATCATCACATCGCGATTCTTAGGGACCAAAGGTGTTTTTAATAAGATAAATCTTTGCATCTGGTTTTCTAACGAGAAAGGAAACAGTGACTTTAAATTTTAACACCAACTTTTAAATTATAGATACTTAGCACTCATTGACCACGGCTCTAAGTTGTAAAGTGTTTTCATATTAAGATTGTAATTATTTCCTTACTGTATTTTTTAAAAACTAAACTTGTATTTAAAATTCTCTTTGAAAGAAACAAGCAAGAAACAGCAAAGATTTTTTTTTTAATTAAATATGTTGGCGGTGCCTGTTTTAAAGGACTGTAAATATATCTTCACTGTGTTTCTCAATATATTTAATTCACAGGGAACTTTTATCAAAGGAAACTTCCAACGGAAATACCAGTTTTCAGGCGTTTTGCTCCATGTTGTAGTCACCTCACCTGAATTTTCTGCTTTACTAACGGATTTTTCTACTGTTTCACACGGTGTAGCCCGCGGACTGGCGCCCTCCGGCGTGCCTCGTTTGTGTGTTATCAATAAAGCTGTGCGCTTCCAGTCGGCCTCCTGTCCTGCTGCCTCAGGCCTTACTTTCTGCTGAATGGGGGCACATTGTTGAGGTCACCTGCGGGGCGGGAGGGTAGGAAGGAGCAGATGAGGGAGAAGGTGGGGGCTGTGCTTTGTTTCTCTGAGCAAGGATCTTCTTCCACCAAAGAGCCTCAGCTACTGTGTTTTCCAATGGCTTTTAGTCCACAGACCCGAATATTCAATGTAAGAAATGTCCGCGCACCTGCTGAGGGCCAGGCTCCGGGCCAGGTGCTGGAGAGGGGAGTGAATCAGGTGGGACTGGCTCTCAGGCGCCCCCTCATGCGAACAGCCTGCTCGGTGCCCCGGGGAGTGCAGGCTCGCGTGGACACGTCCGCACCCCGGGGGAAGATGCAGCCGTCCTCAGGACGGATGGGTGGGCCGCGCAGGAGCGGGGGGTGCCTGGAGCGAGTCACGGGGCTGGAACAGGAGTTCAGCAGGGAGCAGGGCAAGGCGGGCAACGGTAGGAGCAGAGGGGTGGAGGCTGAGGACGAGGGCCTCTGGGGCGAAGCCGGAACACGGGCCGCGGGCGGTGGAGGTGAGTCTGGACAATCAGCTGGGGTCAGACTGGAGGGCCCGCGTCCGGGGCTCCTCATGTGGGTGGGACGGCCGAGCTCTGGTTTGGGGAAGACCGCTGCCAGCCGGGGCCGGAATGGGTCAGAGTGACAGCCGTGGCAGGCCCGCGCGGCCATGCCTGCGGGCGTCCAGAGGGGCACACGCCCAGTCCGAGCCAAGCGAGCGCCCCCAAGCCCCAGGGGCTGGCTTTTTGCCCAGGGCCCTCCTTGGCCCGGCCCGGCCGAAGGAGCTTGCACAGGCAGGATCCAGCCCGAGCCACTGGGCTGGCCTGGCGTCGGATGGAACACACGGAGGAGCGGCCCTTGGCGAGTGCCACGTGGTGGGGGAGATCGGAGTGCACCCGC